ATTTTCCTAGAACACATCGCGAAGCAATGGAAATTCACAAACACCCAAATAATCTCAACAGAAATAAAGGATACCAAGTTCATCCCATCTGACGAACTTTTCTCTTAGTTTTTTTCATTTCGGTTGCCGAACCGAAACTAATACAATATCTGACTGGCCAACCATGTCACGCACGAATGCCACAATATTCCGTATAAGGGACAAACTTTTCCGATCAGCATTAGTATCGGAGTACCTTTCAAGCCCTGAAGCAAATGAAGCAAACTTCAACATTTGCGAAATACTGGTAAGTTAAAGCTTCCAAATGCAGCTCCAAGCCGGAAATTATTTATTACTATATGGACTATATGAATGCTGACTGCGAAGGCCTCAAAACTATAAGCACTTCTCAACAAAAGAAAGATCATTTTCGTTATCAGCGATGCCCCCTGAATACAGTTGTGCGTTGTTAGTAAGACAATAAGGGACACCCTATAGTGTTTTAAATATCTAACTGGTATACAATAATATAATATTGTAGACCTTAATTAACCGAACTCGTCCCAGTATAAGTCGATATTGCTTACCCCGAGCTTATCTGAACTCATTTTGGAGTGGTCAATGTCGTTTAAGCTAACTATAATCATAAACGTTGAATTATAGAACTTAATTAAACCTTAGCCTAAATTTAAATGGTAAAAGTGAGCCTAAGTATGCAACATATCAATAATTTTGTATAAATAGACTAGCTTCTATCCATGACTTCGTCCGTGTTATATCGACTTCCCGTGTAGAAAATTAGTCAGGGCTACGAGCGGGACACGATCAGCTTTCCCACATTCTCATCACGCTATGGTCCAGACACCCGATGGTTATACTAGGGTGAATAGACGTGTTCCTTATGAGGTTTTCTTATCAATACAATATTAGAACTTATATTCCAAACTTCTTTAAAATTTATAGTATTCTTAATATTCGTTAAAATACATCTAAGGATACAAAAGGTATAACGGCATAGTTTTATAATTAAAACTAAATAAAAAAGTTTATCATAGACAGACAGGTATCTATCTATCTGTTTTGTTATGAGCAGAATTTAAATCTGCCATTTTAAGTTTTTTGTTTGTGCCCGATAATATGCCCCATTGGAATTTGGGTCAGGGCCTGGCCAAATATTCTCGTCAGTAAATTAAACCAGTATCTTATGAAGGCCGCATTAAGAAAACGTACTTGACTATGCCCTATTTGATCCCTAATGTGGCCTTCTTCATATTAGGGCGTTCCCTTAAAAATTTCTACACGGGTTGCTTTACATTTTCACTCTTTCCTTAATCACTTTTCGACATATCATAATGACGCATTGTCTATGTTACTCCTAAAGATCAGAATTATCCATCAGTGAAAAAAATTTTCTAATCGGCCCAGTGGCTCAAGTTTTGCGGTAACGTACCGCAATTTGATTTATCGGGATTGTCGTTTATCCGTGGCATCCCGGGTCTGCCACATTACGGTTAATCGAGGATCTACTGCACTACTGCCTCATTGATAGACTATAAAGCTAATTATCAAGAAGTATTATAAGTTAACTTGAAAATTATGTTTTTTTTTTTTCATTAAAGCTTGTTATTTTGAATATCTTAAACAATTTATGCATAAAATCTAATAATTCGAGACCCATTGATAAACTATGTAACTGTCAGTGCATATAATACGTTCACTTAGCTTGAAGTTATGATTTGCTATATTTTTGAAGTTATTCAAATCCAGAGATAAGTCATACTTCAAATTGCTTTCAGCATATCAATACAAAATAAATTTATAATTACACATTCTTATAATATTCGATACCATATAAGACTTATAATAGATTTAGATAAAAGTTATTTAAGAACTTTACCGTTAGAAACTAAGCGATAAATCAAGTATTAGAGAATTCTAGATAAACCTATGTAATCGCTAATGCGAACACATTTTTGTTATCTCGTTATAGAGAACTTCCGCATGTGGATATTTATAAAGCCCTTTTCAATAATTTTAGTTCTATTCTGGGTCTTAACCCAGATAGCACTAGTTTTTAGAAAGACGACTACAGGATCTTTTTATTGGCGTCTTTTAATCGTACGAAAATATCTTGTGAAAAATGATGAATATCAATGTTTCTTTATACGTGGTCCTAACAATGATTTGAATTTTTTTTTAATCGTCCTGAAGTCGATTCTATTATAGATGACTGATAGAATTTTGCAGTCATAGTAAAGTAGACTTATTTTAAATAACTGTTGACATTTTCCATTCGTTCTAAATTTCACTTGCTTTAGAGAATTGATTGATTCTTTTTCTATTTAGTTGATCCTGAAATCATTGTAGAAGATTTAACCAGGTTAAACCTATCATGTTTATGGTTTGAAAATAAATACACGAATTTGATTGGTTAATTCTACTTAGTATCATTTAAGCTAAGTATAATGAAAGCCAGACTGCAAGACACATTTTCAACATCTTGCAGACGACATAACAGCTTGACTTTAGAACGTCCTAGACTTATTCACGAAGTCTTATAGATGGCTTAAAGTTGACTTTGTCTTGTCTGTGAATAGTTTTCTGTAGTAAAAATACTTTTTTACGAGAAAAAGCTTGTTAAACGAAATATATTTTGATTAACATACTATTTAAAGAAAATTGTCAAAGTGTGATTTGAGCCAGTTTATATATTATTGTAATATTTATATGCAGATTACATCTTATATTTGTATTAAAATTCAGAATGTTATAAAATAATTTCAATATTTAGCAATTAAACATATGTATGTTGAAATTGAGCAGACTAAAATAGTTATCCAAAGATTCTCTTTGGCATAGTCATACACCGTCAACGAAGATGACTGGTTATTTGAGGGGTCAGTTTTCTCAAGATGCATTTGTGTATAACCACAACATTAGTGAATAGAAAATATTAGATTTCTAGTGCATTAATAATTACAAAAGAATTTAAAATCAATTTAAATTGGTAATATGCAGAACATTGCGATTGATATAAATTATCTATTCGATTTTTTTTTAGAAAAATTTCCTAATACTCTATGCAATGCTAATTACGTTACACGATATTCAATTTTTGTAATTGTCGCAATAAATTTTTCTATTGGATATAAGAGACAGTGGGGAAAAACGGGTTCCTTACCCCGTTTACGCCCAAACTGGCATGAAAGTTTTTCATTTTTCAACAGTTATACTTTTAAGGTAAAAGTTATTCAATCTTGATGAAACTACATGTCTTTATGTATTTTTGTCTGCTCTTTCTGAATCTGACCTCAGATTGACGATATTTGCCGCCATTTTTAAAATACGGCAGTTTAAATCTGAAAAAAGCAAAAAATTTCATTTTTTTTTTCAAATAATCATGAATCTGAACCAGATTCCGTTATCGGAGGGCGATAAAACTCTGGATCGGGTGGAATACGACCTTATACTAAAAGATAGGATTATTAATTTATTGAAATTCAAAATGGCGGTCATTGAAACAGCTGTTTTTATACATGAATTTAATGAAAAGCTTTGCAATTTTTTTTCTCGGTAAGTATTAACTTTACGAAAAAATGTTATGGATTAAAAAGTTCTTAAAATTAATTGAAGAATACGCTTGAATTTTTTCAGAATATTTAAAATGATTTTTGGGTTTTTGGAATTGTCGATATTTCGAAAAATCAAAAAGTTATCCAAAAAATTCTGAAAAAATTCACACGTATTCTTTGACTAATTCTAATTACTTTTTTTTCTATAAAGTTTTTTTGTAAAGATGTTTTTCATAGAGTAAAAAAAAGCGCAAAGATTTGTATTACATTCATATATGTATAAAGGTGGCTGATTCGACAGAGATCATTTCGAACAGAACAAATAGACCAAAAAGTAATTAGAATTAGTCAAAGAATACGTGTGAATTTTTTCAGAATATTTTGGATAACTTTTTGATTTTTCGAAAAATCGACAATTCCAAAAATCTAAAAATCATTTTAAATCATTCTTTAATTAATTTTAAGAACTTTTTAATCCATAAAATTTTTTCGTAAAGTTAATACTTACCGAGAAAAAAAATTGCAAAGCTTTTCATTAAATTCATGTATAAAAACAGCTGTTTCAATGACCGCCATTTTGAATTTCAATAAATTAATAATCCTATCTTTTAGTTTAAGGTCATATTCCACCCGATCCAGAGTTTTATCGCCCTCCGATAACGAAATCTGGTTCAGATTCATGATTATTTGAAAAAAAAAAATGAAATTTTTTGCTTTTTTCAGATTTAAACTGCCGTATTTTAAAAATGGCGGCAAATATCGTCAATCTGAGGTCAGGTTCAGAAAGAGCAGACAAAAATACATAAAGACATGTAGTTTCATTAAGATTGAATAACTTTTACCTTAAAAGTATAACTGTTGAAAAATGAAAAACTTTCATGCTAGTTTGGGCGTAAACGGGTTAAGTCCCAATCCGAATTCTTAATACATGAGTCGATTCAACAATATAACGCGATTTAATCACGACACTTCGAAAACACGACCTCAAGGACTATTCCGGGTCTCTCGGCAACACGTCCCTAACGTGAACGCGATAAATGTCATCAGAGTGATGCCAAAAATATATCATGTTTTTTCCACCTAGGCAAAAAGAATATACATATTAATCAAATACGATCAGTATAAAATGTTTGTCATATATTAAATTTATACTGAATGTATATACTTCATATAGTCTTTCTTCACTTACATACCCTCATTAATTTTACTGGGAGCTCATTTTGCTCCACTGAGAAACTTCTTACGCCTACCTATGAAATACTCTATAAGCTATGGCAAATTCTTTTCTCTTTACCTGTCTCATCTTTTCATGGAATGCGAAACCGCGGCTTGTACCAATACATAGTTGCATATTAGACGAATAATGAACTTCGTATCCTGCGTCGAAGGTATTAACTGATCTTATTATTTAGTCCAAGTTAACTTAAAAAGGGTATACATTACCAAATATGAATTATAAAATATTTTAATACATAAATTTCTACAGCATAATACAGAGTAAAATTTTCTTATCATCAACTTATCATAGAGATAGAATTGTTCACAGTCCATATTTTGGAGGTATACTTTCAACAATTCATTGAAACTGTTAACAAAACATATATTATTCATAGCATAATAATACAAAATTATACACATTACAATTATACATACATAACCCCAAAAGTGATTACTGCTATTCAGGGTGAACAAAGTAATAAAATGATTTGTTAGAGAAAGGCTCATCTTCATCTATCTTTTTCATAATTCATAATCCATAACTGCAGTTTAACTTAACTGTTTATTTTTGGAATATAGGGAGCTATATGTATATAAAAGTATATATATTGAATTAGTAATTGGACAAAATAGGGTTAAAAATAATGATGCATTATCTGCTCTGGATATACTTATTAACATCAGGAATTGTAAATATTCTAAAATTTTTAATTAAGAATGCAATAATAATAACATATCTATACATAATAAATGAGCTGATTATTAAGCATACTAGAATTTAGGCCGCAAAAATTAACATCGTTGATATAATATTAATTATTAAAGTTGTATAGCACTGGGATTTTTTTGTCTAGATTAAAATATGTTTTTATACGAATAAATCATTTAATTTACAAATGCTATAATAATATAAATGTCAGTCATTAATTTTCATTGGAAAACCAATACTAAATAATATTCATATTTTATTTTGATTCATCAAGAAGTACCAAATATATGTTATCTCAATATTAGCTATTCAATAACGGAAGTCTGATGCGTTGTTATTAGTTAACTGTAAGGTAGAGACAATAAAATCATGAGTAAAATTGTTAAAAATTTCCTTTACGCGTAAAATGTTTTTTGAACTGCAACATTCAGATATATCTAATAAATCCATCGAACTCAGTTATATTTTTTTCAATTTCTTCGTAATAGTAATAATTTGAGCGAAGAGTATAATTTCTTCAATGATTGACAATCAGGTAGGCGTCTTTAGCAATTGCGGATATATTACACATTCAAGATGAATTTTATTTCAGCAAATTATGGAGTAAATGAAATATCCATTTTATCATATACATATAATAAATAGATAAAATATATCCATTTTTCATTGACGAAAGAGGAATACAAAATATCGAGATAATCTTTTCGAGTGTAGTTTTTCGAAGTATGACCTGCAGTTTTTTTTTGTAAATACTCTTGTAATTTCTATTCGTTAGAGTCTCGACCAGAATAAATATAAGTGTTATAATCAAATATGATTTAGATCAGTCATATGCGAGATATAATTAGTGAAAATACAAATGTAAAATGCATCGCATGATTGAGTTGGGTCCAATACAGCGAATTATGCGAAGAATCGATTCTTATAATAGGATAACAATATCTTATTGTTCATCATTATGGCGATTTATTATACGACATCGAAGTTGATTCACAATTCTATGCATAAAAAATTGTAACACTCTAGTTTGGATTGGACCACGATGTATATATTTGATTGCCAATTTAACTTATCTAAAATGTTTATCATATTCTATATTACTTCCCGCAAATAAAGATCGAAAACTGATATGGAAAGTCGAAATGTCTCATCTTAAGTCACTGATTATTTTTTAATTTATTAATTCGTTTCTTAACAAGAACAAAATCGCAGCTTGCATATTTAAGTGCCTTTGATACGCGTCGAAATATTTATATCAGGTGGAACTATCCGTCGTTTATATGTAGCATTCTGATTAGATTGACGAGAACAACAATCTTATAAATAAGAAATTGATAGAATTTCACTTTCAGTGAAAAATAACAAAAATATACTGATGATACCCAAAAAAATATATAATTTATGCGAAAGTAACAACCTCGATAATTTTACAATAATTGTTATAATAGTATTGACAACAGTTGATACCAACTTGAGGAAAAAATAAAAAACTCAATATTGCATCCATTGATTGTTATCATGTAGCATTTGCTTCATTCGATATGTGTTCGGAAATTCTGGTTATCATACTGACCACACAAAAATGGATATTATTTACGGAATAATTCAACAATGGGATGTAATCGTGATATATCAATTTTATAGTATTTCATATTATATTTCATGCTTCACATAGACCCAATTATTGATCAACTTGAATTTGTAAGTAATCTTATTTCGCCTCAGATGGTAATGTTGATAAAAGGTACATTATCGAATACTGAGTTCATTCGTTTGTTTTAATGTAATAAGTACAATTAGATGAAATTGCATAATCGGTTGCTAGTACCCTTTTTTTTACTATATTTTTTTCAATAGTTTTTCTTAAGGGGTTAGGCTACTGTGACCGGCTCCCAGACAGGCTAATTTTTGGAAATTTATTTCGCAAAAACTACGAATGCAATATTTTTAATTTTTTAATATTTTGTTATGTATAACTTAAGGAGTGTGTGTAAAAAGTTTCATAACCAAATATTGAAATTTCCACACGTTATTCTTCTTCGCGTCGCCTGATATTTTCCGGGTGCGATCGGTCGGTGTACACGATTTCGCAAATATGGTTGGTCTGAATCAAAAATTAAAAATATCCTCATTAACTACATGGTATTAACTATGGCATGACCGAGCTGTTTTTTCATCTACGAGAAAAAATTCTTGAATATCTGTTGCAATTTTCGGAGCTGTAATGCGTGTTATTATTATTAATAAATATTGCAAAAAAACGTATTGATAAAATCGTCCGTCACGCCTAAATTTGTATTCCTCTGAACATGTGTACCAAATTTCAAGTCGATTCATCAATCGCAGCCCGAAATATCGTGTGCACCGTTTTGAAAAACATAGTTTCGAGAAAAACGCATTTAAAATTTTGAGCTCTGGACGTTTACCTGCGCGTCAAATTCTTCCTTTGTTAAAAACGCTATGACTCCAAAAATACTTCACATATCTACATGGAATCTTTTGAATATTATTCTAAACACTTAAAATTATTTTTTAACGATAAAAAATTTCGAAATTTTGAACATTTCACAGTAGTCTAACCCCTTAAGTCATCTGTAAGACAGACAAATAGGTTTTGATGTACAATAGTTCAAATTGTGATCAATATATTTTAATAATAGTTTGATAGTACTCGCAATAATAATTAATAGCCATAATTATACTTTGGAAATAAATTAATTTTTGTGTATAACACAATAACTTTGGATCCGTTTTTATTTTAGTAACTTTAAATAACAGACTACTAGTGAAGATTGATATTCAAGATTTTAAGGCAGAAGATTAATATGCGTTGGCGAATATGAAATATAACAATTACCACGAATAATTATATTCATGGAAAAAAAAAGAATACGATTTATAGAATCTTCAGTTTAAAATGAATGTAGTAAATGCCAATGAGTGTGTTGCATGGATTAAAATAGTACAAATTAAAATATAAATTTACTTGGTATTGTTGTTTTCTCTAAAGATTAGACAACACTTATTGTATTCGTTGACAATCCTTTAAAGTGTTGTAGTTAACATTTGAAAAGAAAAGAGAAACATGAATAAATAAAAATGATATAAATAATTAATTTCATTTGTTACAACATAAAACACAAACAATGAATTGCGGATTTGGCCAGTGTTATTGTATAAGAATGTTGCTTTATCCTTACAATTTTTATAATTATTACTGTGTAATATTATTATTATTAAAATCGGTGTAAGGTCGACATCACATTGTTGGTCGATAACTGTTGTAATTGATTATCCTTTCGCAATCCACTTGAAGTTTACATCTTGTTCTGAAAATTAAAAAAGGTAATAGATTAGGGTTTATTGTTACATTGAATGGTATTACACTGAAAGTTATAATTTATATCCCGCCCCGACAATTTGTCGGAAATTTCCGAAATTATCGTCATTTTTTCTTTTTAGTAATTCGGTTCTTTTGAAAATGCTTAAAATTGTTATATTTAATTGTATTTAAAAACACACGTCAGGTCGGGACGAAATTCTCATTTTCGTTAAAATTAATAATAATTATAGAGACAATTGTAACTTTAATCAAAAATAATTACCGCAACTATGAGACGTCGATGTAATAACCACGTCGATACCAAAAATATCTTAGCACGATAATCACTATATTGCTCACTATGCCAATTAGTTGATGTCAAATTGTTAAAGCAATTGATATAATACAATATTTATAAGTATATACTGTCTTAAATGTCGGACGGATACAGTTACGGTAATCTGAATTAGTGGTTGGAACGGAACGCTAATAAGAAAATGTATGCTATGAAAGAAAACATAATATTGAGTAAGTCGACATTGCATATTGAGCAATCTTATTAGGGCAAGAAATCACCTTCTCGATATTCCTTTAACGTTTCTCCTATTTTTCGTATTTGCGATTCTTCTACAATATAAATACCATCGATCTCGTAAAATTATTTTACCTACGTGTCAGAAAATGCAAATTTAAATATAGTTTTAGTAATTCTACTACAAAGACGAGAAGTTGTAGATACCCGTTTATCCAGCTGACTTACAAAAATTAAAATATGGTTCAATATAAAACAAACCATAGAATGAATGCAATATATTTAAAGTTTTTATTATTCCGCGACATGTAATTTTGGAGCGCTCCATTGTATTCAAAAATGACCACACGCATAATTTTTTGGATAAAATACGTATACATATATTGCGATAGACGTATTATTAAACAATTGTGAATGTAATTGAAAAACTGCGGCAAATCTTTTGAGAACAGCAGTATTTTCTTTTTTGCAGAGTAAAATTCTGTGAAAAGGTGTCGAGTAGTGCAAGATTCATTCTGGCAATATTTGACTTTGCTAACGATAATCTTGAATACGGCATTTTTCTATTACATAAAAATCTGCATTCAACAATAGGAATTAAAAGAAATCTAGAGAAGTTCGCTTTATTACCGATCGCGAAGGGATCAAGAATTACTATTCTAGCTATATTTTATCTTCATAGTATTCACCATTAATTGTGTAATAAACCTTGTAATTAATATAGGTCAAAATTGTCTTATTAGTACTACCTAATAAAACCTTCTTTTTTGTAAGTCCAACGTTTGTTTGGATCTTAGTCCTATAAAAGCCAATAACAATCCTGGATAAACCTTTCATTCACAAAATGAAATTTGTAGTAGGTTTATCATATTTCTAAATAGCTTTCATTAGACTGAGCGTAAAATATAGAAATTCATTTTGTGAACCATAATGCACGATACAATTGAACTAATTAGGCGTGAGTGGAATAGTGATATTGCAAATAGGTAACAGGAAAAGAATTTGCGTTGTACATAATAGTATACAATAAAACAGATCAAGTTATGTAGGCATTCCGTGAATTATGTAAGATCAATATAGCGTGATGTTCCCCAATCATCGAAAGCCCAATAAAGCTGTATCCTATATTAAGCACAAAAACGAACTGAAAATCTGTAACCGCACTTGAACACCGAGAAGCAACTGACAATAGCAATTCATAATGCGATTAACGAAATTGCTGAGAGGCGATAGCAGCCATAGAGTTTCTCATTGTTAGAAAAAGTCATAATATAGAAGAAGATTGATATGTATAAAGCCGAACCCGTCAATAATAGTGAAGAAAGGTGCCAGTGAGTAGTATTATAGTAGAAAGCTAACAGTAAGTAATGAAAAGAGTGACAGTAAAAATATTTACGGTATCGAACGCTTTATACCGCACTTGATATCATCGCGAATAAAATGAGAAGTGTATTAACATAGAAAGTGATTGATATTTACCAAAATTCGATGTCGCCTGTCTTTTTAATCTGTGATTGATATGGCCCGATATTCGTCTCTCCTAAAAATTTATCTCTTTTAATTTCACTTGGAAAACCGGTAATAATATTTATACCCTGATTCATTCCGTTTGCACTCTTACTCTCTTCCCCGATCACTCCCACAATCTTACTTTTTTTCTCGCCTAACTGCAAAGAGACAAATGGCAGTTTATTCATCGAAGGCATCTACATATCACTAGTGATTATACCTATAGTAGTAATTAATAAGTTGCAAATGTTAATGCAATTAGTTTAGCTACTCTACCAGGCAACTTTCATTCACTATTACAGTTTATTTTCGGTACTTACTTGTGTACTTGTATTTCGGTACTCACACTCCAAGGCCGCATTGAATTTTTCGTTATTCGCGACATAATTTATTGAGAAGTCACACGCTATTGTAAAAAAAAAAACCTTCGCAAAATGTGTTTGGAACGATTTGCGAAATTTCTTCGCATTGCGGAAATTATTGACTATCAAATGTAGACCAAATGCGTGGCATAAAAACAGCAAATTGTTTTCATATACACTGAAACCTCGTTTAAGTTGACTCGTCAGAAACGTAAACATCTCGATTATGTTGACTCAGGAGGGGATCCCACCACTGCGCGGTTCCCCTCTTGCGATTATTGTGATTGGCTGATGCGCGTCACTATACAATTGCATTCTCCCTCCTTCATTACTCGGTGCAGCTGCTTGAGAATTACGTGGGGGCGCGGGAGTAAATATAAACGAAAGGTATCGCGTAAACTTAAACGCGAGTAACCTTTTCTGAGAGGTTTCAGTTTAATATTTATATTATTATATTTAATATAATAAATAAGAGTGTGTTGCGATTTGCTTCCGAAAAACGCATTTTTCATTCTCTCATTTGATATCCTCTTCTATAATTCTAATTATCACAGGTCTCATTAAAAATGTTGTACTTAATACCATGTACCTCAAAGTTTGATTATTATATTCACATCTTTCATAAATAATTTATCACACTTCCAACCCCAAATATGCTTTAACTCCAAAAAATTTAGAGGGGTACAAAAAAAATTCAAGTACTGTTAAATCCAAAAAAATTGAACACTAATAAAGTACATAGATATTACCAACTGGTTTATATATATATAAAATTTATACAAAACATATTAAAAGTATTTCGTTCAACTATTGGTTCTGCCAATTAAAACCATTCGTCTTATCCGACCATTTCAATAGTTTCAGTATACATAGGCCGATAAAGAGAATGATTCTTCATATCATAAACAAGAAGTAAGTACATTGTCATTAGATTCAATTCTGGAATGACGAACAGCGGATAAAAGAGATCAGTAACAAAAAAAATCTTTGTAAAAACCTCACTGTAATCATTATACAGTAATATGATTTCAGACAGTACTCTTTAGATATAAACATAACTGTATAACTATAAGAAATTTTTGCTCATACATATGTAGAATAATCCATAGTACTAATATCACATGAGTAGTATCGAGGCCATAAAGTAACAGAATTAAATGAAGATATGCAAGTTTTAATTTGCTTTGTTCTTTTATTGAATGGTTCGACTCAACATTGCATTACGGATGCGGATTCAAGTCAAACCCGACGACGATTGGATTTTGAGCTTAGTGTTAGCTAAGGGAATCCATGTTTATCGTATTAGTTTGTTGCAATATAAAAAATCGGTGCCACGCGTTTTTTTCCTTTTATTGAGAATGTTCTGTCGCAAACGGGATGAGTTAGTTTTATCTATAGTTTAATCTATCCGTATTTAAATAATATTCTGACTCGTTTTAGTGCTTTAACTGATTACAATCTATGCATTGCTCCAAGACGGTTCGTCAAGTCAGAGCATAGGTCTCTAACCTGGTGGCTGTAGAAAAGGGTCTACAAGCTTATGCTATAATTGCTCGCCTTGTCGCGCAAGACAGTATGCCATGTGCAAGGCTAGTTGACATTTGGCTAGCAGACGCTGCTTTCTCTAATTTAAATCTTTGTACCTTCCACACATTTTTTCTTACCACACCCTTGGACAATCGAAGCGTCCGCTTGACGCTTGACAAGAGCGCCACGCGGAATTTCCAAGTCAGGCCTTATCTTTGACGGGAATGTCCAATAATTTTTACCCTAATGATCCCTCCTCTCGTGACTGGTGATAAGTAAAAAACACCCACTCTCGGATTTTGAATTTTGCATCAATAAGATTACCTGTTCCATTAGGAGAAAAAGCGGTGCTGCGCCCTTCTTTTGGTAAGAAGCTCTCATCTCCAGTCACGAAGGGCTGGTCAAAATTTTCACGTCATTTACTTTCCAATGTCGGACCGTACGCATTCAATAATAGGATTTACGACCCTAATTGACTCGCATCGTAAGTCGAGTCGCACTGTGAAGCTGAACATAGAATTACGTAAAGATGCATCTGTTAAGCTTATACAAGAAAAATGCATTTATAAAAGTAATATCAGCCTATCCAAAGTGATAAAATTAAGAATAACAAAAGTCTATGAGATTACACTTTTTGAAGAAGATATCAACGTGCACACAAAAGTGTTACGTAAAATAAATGTATTCATAAAAAAAGAAAATTTTGAAAATGTTTCTTATTATTAGTTATTTTTGTAGCAAACCTTCATGAAAATATTGTTAAAGTGGAATAAATTGGAAGTATAATAACCTCATAATCTCTATGAACCCTTCGAGGACAGGGGTGTTACTAAAAGAGTGAATGAAGAGTAAAACCTAGTGTTTCAGGAATATTTGGAATCGCTGAATCCAATTCTGACTTCAGAATTTCAAAATGTGGAATTCAACATGGCGGACCCAACATGGCCGACGTCGAAGTGGTAAAAAAATGCGAAGACTATTCAATTTTCATGAAACTCATATCTTAGGGGTTCTCGATGGTGTTCTCTTTGCAGCTCAAACTGTCATGCAAAATTTTATTGGTGGCAGTTTTGAACGAAGGATATTCACGCTAACAAAAGTTTACGTGGTCCTAATGAGCTCCAAGAAGAGCGAAAGTGGAAATTGTCGAACCGAGCTACCCAATTCACCAACGCATGATCAGCCCTACCTGCTTCTGCAGTCAAGTTTCTTATTTGTTCCGAGTGTTCAACTTTAAGTTTCGAACTTTTTACTTTAGAACCGAAAAGAGTACCATCTAGAACCCCTGTATATCAAATTTCATGAAAATAGGACCATTGTGTTTTTGAAATATGAGCGGACAGCATGTATACATGCTCCTCGTCCACAAAGGTTTAATGTTTGTCGTTTAAATATCATAATCCCAGACATAAGGTAAGGATGAGGATAAGGTTGTAATAAACAAAACAAAATAACGTGTACTGCACTCTGTTTATTGAACGTGATAGTTACAATTCTTAAAAGTACTTTAAAGCAACGGATGGTTCAACTTTCTTAAATTTTGTTGGAATCGCGTGAAATAGTACGCGCGTATCTGTCTTCATAATTGATTTACGCGACTTTTATATTACACCAATTTGGAAAAGTTTTGTATCACGAAATTACGAATATGAATTTGTTTTTGAAAAAGTATCACGTACGTATTAAAACTGGAAGAAAGCGATACTTATTATGAAATGTTAATATTTGGCATATCCGACAGTGCTTTTTAAACCACGCTTCCGTTGGATTGAAATCAAGTAACACAATTATCAAAATATATTGTAATAATGAGTATTAAAATTCGAATATTATTTATAAATGATTACAAAGTTGATTCTCAAAAAGGCGAAATTTTTTTAACAATCTATAAAAGTTGTCAACAGATCTAAACATTCATAACCGAGCATCCTTTCTTCCATACCACAAACAATCTCTAATACGATCACGTTAAGGCACTAAGGTAAACGTTATTTAGGTTATTATTATTAAGTGTATTTTAAAGAACAATTGGAATACGCTTAACTGAACGTTTCATTTAATAAAGTAAAATGTTTAAAAGCCTTGTTCATTTGTTAAGCGCGAGTGCATATATGTACAGCGTGCTAAACAATACAATAATAAAATGAGAGAAAAGTAACAGTAGGACGGACGAAAAATTATACATATGTAAATGAAAAAAGAACATGTAGGATATATTTGCGGGAGTAGTACAAATACATACCTGAAGTACGTTTCAAAACCTTATTCGAAACAACTCTGCTATTGTTTTATCTGTTTCATACGAAGTCTGATTTTAAAAAATGTTCACAATATGTAAAAATTGTTACGAGTGAGATTTTGAAATGCACCACTGTATGAATGTAACTATACAATTAATACTTTTATATTTTGGTAGTTTGCATCAAGTCTCGAATCGAATTCATGAGTTATTACAATCACGTGATTCAATTTCATGTTATTTAAGGAATTTTAACTTTAAACCAGGTTATAATTACATGTCATATATTTAAACGTGTATAATATTATGCAGATGTGATGCTTTTCGATATTTTGTTTCCACATTTCAGTTTCTTATGAGATCAACGAATCAGATTTATAATACAATTATTAGTTTATATGATTCGCGGTATGTCTCATCTAGGCGTAAAAATAACTGAATTTATTCTAAACAGCAGATTCCCAGTGAAAACGCTGATAAATATTCGAAGCCTTTAGAAAATTTATTAATTTCACATTCTTCAAGTATTTGCAGGTAACTTAATACGTCCGCAGTGATTAAATTGATCAATACATTGCACGTACTGAAGCAATTCTTTTGTGAAACATAAACCCATCAAAACTCAACATAAAATACCCTACTTTATCTACTACCTATGATTGTGTATAATTGAAAACTTACTTCACTATTTCTACTGATAAGTACAAGATACTGTGAAATCAGTAAAAAATATTACGAATTAAATATCGTAATGCCATCAATAGTTCCTATTTCTCTTGGTGTATAAATGAAGTAAACAGATACTTCACTTCATCCAATAAATTTGATTCATCTTGTGCGCTTAGAATGGAAAAAGTGATATATTCACTCATCTAAATTAAACAACTTGTACCGACGTATTCAATCGGTAGAACTTTTACTAACCTTCCTAATTTTTGCAAAATTAATAACATCAGCTATTATAGTTTTGCTGAACAAACCCCAAGACATGTCATTCAACCTATGGTATTTGATGAAGAACTCACAAGGCACTTTGGTTCTCTAAGGAACAATAATTTGTGCATGCGATAATTCACGTAACTGAAAAAAAGAATAACCCTCTTTTGGATCGCAATAAAAATATGTTTGACTTGAGCGTGATTTTCAGCCGCCTATCTAGTTCTCATTTGATAACCAGCAGGCTACTATGTTCTCCAGATACTAATCCATACTGCTTATAAAACATGTGCAAATATTTTCGTATAACAATGTATTTCTACTTTTCGAATAGAAAACCCGTCGTATTATAGTTCAAAGAGATGAGAGTGAACAAGCAGCGTTGTTAATCTTCGAAAGACCGTAAATATACTAGACTTGTCATAAGTATAGTCCTAAATATTGAAAAAAAAACTTTCTCTATTTCTATCAATTCATGTGGAAAACCACAAACTTTAAAAAATTTAAAAATATCTGTGCTAACTTGGTAAAAGTATGAAATCGAATTACTTCGATAAGCTAAACACAATAGATGCCGAGATCCACTGAGAGCCAGTCAAGGAAAAGTTTGGAACTTGATAATAAAAAATTGATTATAAAGAGAAAACTCTAAAGTCGATCTACATGTGGTTAAGATTTAGTTATCTAAAAGCTTTCAGATTTAACAAGGTTGTGCTGATGTTGCAGACCTTCAATCAAATCCATATGGTGAGGTGCTGTCACCACATTGACCTTTCTTTCCCGAAAATATTCCTGTCTTTGTTTGCGACTATCCGTAACGGGTAGTTCATTTATCTCGGCATCATTGTCCTCCTTGGTCTGAATTCGATCATCTTGATCGCTCACCTGGGCAATACTGTCCGGGATAGGCAACGGCTTGGCCACTCCGATTCGAACGGTACCCTTCGGGGCTCCCTTGAGAGCTTGCACTGCTTGATCCAGAGTGGCATTCTGCAAGGCGATATCATTGACGAAGAGAAGGCGGTCGCCTGGTATGAGCTGACCGTCAACCTGGGCCACTCCACCTGGTACTAGCGATCGTATAACTATCACAGTTTCATTAGGGTTCATTGGATCCTGTAACGAACAAGTTAGCACAATAATTACCCATTTACAAATAATCGATAACAACGCGTATATTAAGTATAAGTATACATATAACGAAAAGTTTTAATTTCTTGCCTGGTAGTCCAAAATTGAAAACCCAAGGCCCCTCTCTCCTTTCACCAGCTCAATAATTTGTGCTTCCGAACTCCACATTGCAAGCCCTGTTAACGGTTCCAGGGAACGAGACTTCATCTTGTTTAGGCTAGCATCTGTTACAGTTGCAGTCGTCGTGGTCGAAGCTAGTGAACCATCGGATTTAGCTTTCACCAAACGATCCATCGCTGGCAAAAGGTTTTGTAATGATCCACCAAGAATACTCTGAGAAATTTAGGGTATTTTTATCAGCACATTTTACCTATTATGTACACGAACGATAAGAGTACTGAGGTATTATATATACAGGGTGTCCCACGACTTTTTCCCCAACGGGCACTGGCATATTTTCCGTTGAAAATACAACAAAATGCAATTTGTCCGAATGAAATCGGTGGCAGCATTCTCGAGAAAATAAATATTAAAAATTTAGAAATATCATCATTTTAAGTAAGTTTCAATCATCACCAAAGAAAACAATAGCAGTAGAAAAGGAAAGTGGCGGGCGTTTGCTTCTGTGAACACATTAACTCAAGTAGAAACTGTAATATTATCATTAGACTATGACTTATCGAACATGAGACATGATGATATTTCTAAATTTTTAATATCTATTTTCTCGAGAACGCTGCAACCGATTTCATTCGGACAAATTGCATTTTGTTGTATTTTCAACGGAAAATATGCCAGTGCCCGTTGGGGAAAAAGTCGTGGGACACCCTGTATATATAATACCTCAGTACTCTTATCGTTCGTGTACATAATAGGTAAAATGTGCTGATAAAAATACCCTAAATTTCTCAGAGTATTCTTGGTGGATCATTACAAAACCTTTTGCCAGCGATGGATCGTTTGGTGAAAGCTAAATCCGATGGTTCACTAGCTTCGACCACGACGACTGCAACTGTAACAGATGCTAGCCTAAACAAGATGAAGTCTCGTTCCCTGGAACCGTTAACAGGGCTTGCAATGTGGAGTTCAGGTATATATATTTATCGTCATTCATTTTTGCATATCGTTATCAGCAGTGGATAAAGTGGCTTTTTTTTTTGTTTTTAAAAATAATATTGATATACATAAATGGGGTTTCAAGTCATTGTATACAGGTAAGTCCTTATCTTTGGTAGAATCTTTTGCAAGAATAATTATATTCTGAATGAAAGTTGCATCATTTTCAGAGTGCAATTACAGTCCATGGAGCACAATTTGCTGAAGATAAATAATCTCAAATATAATAGGTATATTGTTTTTGTTTCTTTGCATCTTGCTTATATTGATATTGAATGAAGGATGAAATAAATTTCAAGCTCTAAAACTAAGTATCTGTTCGGCTGATTCTTTATGAGATACTGATCGTCGAATTGAGAAAATAAAATAACATCGCAAAACAGCAATAACTGCAATGTGTTCCAAAGGAAAATGGAGCATTTATTATGAAATCGAAACGTATATAAATAGTACTCCAAAATATTATTTTTCCATTCCCATACATATCCAAACTTTTCCACTAAGTTACAGCTTAATAGATTCAGCGGCAACTTTGTAATTATGTTATTATATAATTTTTGCTATAATAATTACACAATTTTTATAAAAATTAGGAAGTAACTTCTAATTTGAAGCGTATTATGTTATAGGTACGAGGTAAGATATGTTCTGCATGAGTCTGATAGGTGAAGGTAGGACTACGTATCCACAGTATATAATTATTTAGATGATAATTACCCGGGTTTGAAAAGCTGCTTGATGCTGAGCCGTATCAATAGGGCAAAGTGGATCCTGCGATGCAATGTTTCGTCCGCATACCATACGGACGTGAATTGGTAGTTCTTTTAAGACACTAACAACCTCCATATGATTAATGCCGAGTAAACGATATCCATTTACCTAAAGAACACCATTATCATAAGATAGACTCAATCTGTTATCATAAAATGAGCATACAATTTTTCATATCTATTAGAAGTTTACAATCATCACATATTGGCAATCAATGGAATCTTTTTCCTTATTATTACAACCATATATAGAATTTACTAGTTACATTTCAATGCATTTGTACCAATAACGTGAATTCATGTTATATATATTTATTAAAAAAAATGACCACCAGTGATAAATACAACGATAAAATACAACGATATTTTACCTCCAATAATTCGTCGCCGGATCTCAAAGTACCATTCTGCCCTACAGGACCTTCCGGAAGAATCGAACGAATGTAATGATGAGGCCTCACTTCTTGGCCATCTTCAACATCTACTGTTCCTTCTAGACTAATACCTAGACCGCTTCCTTCAGCAAATTTTTTGAGTTGAGCTACCTGTAAAAGAATTTAGAACATTATATGCTTATTTCTGAATTCCTTTCCTACATAAGTAAAATTAAGAAATTTTATTTGTATGATTTACGCCTCATTCACAGTCACTTACGTTAAAAAATTGATAAATAGAATATATAGGGTATTGAACTTCGTGACCGTATGCAAGTTACGATTAGCATGTTTCAAGCACAACAAAATCTGGTACTGACGTGAAAAATATTATTAAGGATGAATAACATGCCTAGTATTATGGTGTTAGAACGAAGCCTGATCCAGTATCTTTACTGTGCTACTCACAAATTACTTTTGAAACGAAATATATTATTATAGATAACTTAACTGTGGATCAAATTGAATCATTCTATACTTTTATGTAGTTGATCACATTAAATTTATGACTTAAATCCGATTATGAAACACAAGCTTTGGATGTATAGCCGATAATCGTTGTAATTACTTATGACTAGGCTTTCCTTGCACCTGTTGCCATCTACATATTTGTTATATCTGTTCCATATGATAATTTAGAAAACTTACATATTTAGCGTCTGACTCTAGCTTAGAGCTGAGTAGCCGATTCGATTTCTTGCGACTTAGAAATTTATCAAGTTTCTTATTCGATTTTTTTTTATTCGATTACGTAACATAATACATTCTTTTCTAAGTTAGTATTTTGACTTCACAACTTTGAATTATTAGATTTTTATTCGATCTTTGATATTAGCAATACGGAAAATACATAGAAATAGATTTTCAGGGAATTTAAACGCAACATAATTTTATGAGATTACTATGTTGAGTTTCTTACTTTCACTTATGTAATTTTCATTGTAAATTTAACGCAAGTCACACCGGCCCAGTACAATCTTTGAATCTGCCTTGCAAAATTTTAAATTTTTGCGAAATACTGGTTGGAGTAGATTATGTAATGGTCATCGCAAAGAAATATCAAACATGTGTCTGTCTTTGAAATTCCAGATGACCTCTTGAACCGACCAGGTTGAAATTTGTATGAAAAGTTGGATATGGACATGATATTTGTAAATGTTTAGCACTTCTGATTTCAGAAGATCATTCTTGGAAAAAAAATTATGTTCTATGTCTGTCTACAAAATCCTGAATAAATTTCTGATTCAATGTTTATCTGAAAATCCGAGTTTTGGATATAATAAATAAAACAGAAACAGTTACAGGTGTCCGGTACTTTCGGGTATAAGCCACGAATACGTAACATTTATTTTTTTTGTCCTGGGGAATGCAGTCATACCGTGTTGGAAATCTATGTCTGTACCTCCGGAAAAGACAGGGTATGGTTACCGTGTAGCCTTATTCCTCATCCAAAACTGACAATGAGTCGAACAGTTGTTTACCAGCGATTTAATTAGACATTTGGTCGTGATTACTATAAGTGAAGTGTCGTACTCATGAGATCAGTGATTGTGTACATTGTGTCCCATTACTGCTAGTGGTACTACAATGTATTGAGAAAACAAAACTTGAAGTTTTTGAATGTTAATTAAAGGTACCTTTATGTGTTAAAAACATCTTACGCTAAAACTACTTATTAACGCAATCCTTGGAAGTTCATGATTTTAGCTATTACTATTATGACATCGTTACCATTAAACAATAATTCCTTACTACAATTATTATTCCATTTTCGTATAATAACAAAATAAATAAATAAAAATTCGAAATGAATTATTTCCATTATATTTGTGTTTCTAAGTCCATCTATTAATTATTTAGATACAAGTCCATCAACCCAGATTCGATAGGATTATTGAAGTTTTAGCTTTGTAGTGACTTTTATCATTCTTATACTAAATATAATTAAATGTCAATTAAATAATGTAACGATAATGGTAGGTAGTTGAGTGAATTAATTAATAACATAACACTTACGACTATAATAATTATTACAATATTCTAATATGTAATAGCAATGATTAACGTTAATTGCTTAGCCATCTTGTATAACTACTACAAATTCGAATCTGGGGCAATGTTAGAAAATTCAATAGTCTACATACTAAATACTCACGCGCACTTGAAGCTTTTGCTTAAGCCGGAATTTTTACTCAGATATAAACATACACGGCATATGTAGACAATTGAAAGGGTCACATCACAAAAGCTAACTCAACTGTGATCGACTATAATTGAAATACGACATAATATCTGGCACAGTTACTCTACGGTTATGCATCATACGAATGGGTAGTTGTGCATTGGCCTAAAGCCAAGGCTCAGTAAACACGACCTTGTTTACATTCGAATTTCCAGAAACCCGAACAGCATGAATAACTATTGTGCGTGTATGTAAAACATCACATTTTCTCTTTGTGGACCCGATTCGATATAGTAACTTTAGTAGGGAACAAAAGAACTAAATTTTGTCAAATTTATATTAAAACATACTATCATTAGTATCCTGAATGAATGGAGTTTCTACAGATGGCGTTAATAATAATATTGAGCATAATAATCCTAATCTTTTACAAAACTTTAAATTCAGTAATATTAAAAAACAGATTGCAGATACTCATAACTTTAAAATAATTGGTATCCAAGACTTTCAAAGTCAAAACATTATTGGGTATCTAACAGTAATATGTTTAATTCAATTATTAGTGGCAAACCCAGAAATCCTATCGAATATCATAATATTTTCGTATAACACAAATGCTTCCTTATAGGAAATGATGACAGAGGCACTATTATAAATAATGATCATCTCTTTTTATCTTCTTCCGTAATATATATAAAAGAAACGTTGTTTGTTTATTGCTCAATTAGGCCCAAACAATTTAACCGATTGACAGTGACATTGTGTTGATAGGCACTAGCTGAGATACCAGATTAGAACATAGAACATATGCTATCAAGTAACCCACACTAACATTCCTGTAGAATTGTAAACGTCTTTTAGATATCTGTACATACCAATATCTCTATCCCTATCAACTTCAATGCGTATATAGCGCTGTATCGCTTACACGCGGCACATATAATAAGTAAATTTTATGATATTTTCGAAAACGAATCATATTATAATAATTAAAATTTTCGTGGATAAAACGATGAAAAAATAATTTACACAAAAACAAACACCGAACGTAAGGACCACACAAAACTAACCTTACACATAATTCCAACGGAATCTCTTCGCAATTTCAGACAATTGTAAATCACCTATTTGAAAAGTCCGCGGGAATGGGAAGAGAACAACCCCGGCGTGCACTTTATCAGAGGCGCATGTCAGCACGAACGCACCGACAATTCTCATTCGTCCCATATTAGCCATCTAACTGGTTTGCTCATAATAGCATTGACGCCTATATAGCATTCATTACCTATTTATTTATTTTTAAATACCTTAGTATCTTTACTAGTTAAGAATATTTTCACAATCATTTAATATTTTCTTTCCTCGTTTATTAACACTAGATTTACGGACATTGGTTATCAAAGTCACCATAAATTAATAAAAAATAATATTTATGATTTCTTTAACTTCAGCACTTAAATTCCACACCTCGATCATACACCTTTAAATTACAACTGGCTAGTGCGAATACGTAATTCGCACCTGTGTGGAGTTTAAGGGTTAAACATGAAATTTGAAATCCGTCAAGTTGACGGATTCCGTAAATCTAGTGTTAAAACATTTTGTGCAAAATAAGGTGTTTCGATATGATATTTGTTAATTACATAGTATTTAGTCATAGGATTACTACTCCTGGAGAAGTATTTTTGGGAGTGAATAAAACCCTGTCCGTCAAAAATAATTACTACCTATTCTACTAGTGTCCGAGACTGCATACATTTTTCTGTGTTATTCGCTATGTCGTCTCACACATCGTTTCCCTGCTTATTTATTATATGATTTTTATTATATGCCTCAAACTTTTCGTAGCAATTAATACAATGCTGTCATGAAGTATCAAATTACCTATTTAAATCGAATATTGTACCGTCACGAGATATACAATATTTTTTCACAATGTCTATGCTAGTCAGCTATATGTTTCTTTAAATTGTCATGATGATATTGCCGTATTGTATTACCCAATAAAATAATTTATTGACTTGTAACGCCCTAGCTCACAATCTCCAGAATCTCAATTTCGAGTACACGAAACACGTTCCTCGTTTTCGCGCAGGCTTTATTTCATTGACTAATTTTTTCCACTTCAGTTAACTTATTTCCTCATTTATTGTCGTTCTCAAATTTTTATTCTATCCTGGCTTGAATCTATCACTTGTTAGTGTCCACCCACGATTCTCATTTCATCTAATGCTTGTTTTACTAATAATATATTAATGAACAATATCAGGAGAGTTCTATTAGCTATCTGCAATCTCTTCTCTCTGTCTCTGCTTATACTGAATAAAAAGACTGGATTTTTAAACGTGATATTGCTTTCTTTTTAAATTTTATCCAATTTTGTACTTCGTGACATTCTGTGGCCCTTTACGACGCCCGAAAATCCGATACCATCGTGGGGACCGAGAAAAGGCCATTTATATGTATTACTTTAGACGGGGCCGCGATATCAAATTTCAATTTGCTGAATGAAAAAAAAATATATAAAGCATTTAGCATTGTTATGATTAATTTGAGCATACTCAAGTTAAGTTCAGTGAAATGCTTTTGACAGAACAAGATGTCTACTTCCATAGTTGGACTGCATGCGATAAAATGTTAAAAATAGGTTATACTCCATCTGTCAAGATCAGACTCTGATACCGCAGTCTAACTATAATATATTTTGTTTAGTTTTGACCTAGGCGTTCGTATCTGGTGCCCCAGCAATATTTATCAGGCAATTTCTATGAATTCAACTTTTTGTAGCGTATCTGCTGTCGCTTTGTCATGCTTACGTAAAAATAATATAAAAATACCCACCACAATCTCAGTGTCTGGTCCGACAATTTTCTGCCATTTAGCTTTGATAGCTGCACGAATTTGAGGAGTCAGTTCACTCGATGGATCGCTTAGCAGCGCTTCTACGTTCGTTGCTTCATCTAAATCCTCGGTCAGATGATCGTGCGTTTCTCCCTCTTGCAACACTGCACTATCAACCGTTGTATGCGATTCACCTTCCGGTTCAATTTCCGTAGTCGTCTCGCCGTCCTAAAATTAATAGTATTGTTATTTTCCAGTAGTAATTAAATCCTAACGAATTGTACTCTATTCATTTCATTTCATTCGTGGACGAAAAGTAAAATAAAATTGGGGCACCCGAATACATAATAAAATGTAAAATTAAAAGCATATGAAACAGAATGAATATATATTTTTACAAAGGACAAATCGGAACTGGGATTCATTAATTTGAAGTTTGTCTTAAATTTTGTGACCAACTGAGACGTTCAAGAAATAAAAGAACGACACCCTTGGTAAAATGTATCAAAAAATGATGTTCAGGTTAATATCAGATAATTTGAACTATTGGTCAATAAATATTCTACATCTACGATGTTGCGAGCATTCTATTATTCATAACAATATGCATAATAACGCAGCGCTTCTCTAACATGTTTCAGATGTTAATATGATCAGGACTATATAGCAGATGGTAAATTAAAAAAAAACTAGCTTTATGAAAGACAATGAAGAACCATTCCAGATTGGAAATCATTATTAATACTTCTATGACTGACGACGCATGGATACGGACGTATAAAGGATTTTATTGAGTGGTTGTGGAAAAAATTGGGTCACCAAATTTTCAGAGTAGTATGACGAGAACGCGGATTCGGATTGAGCAGTTAGCATTATTATAAAGAGTTAAGTACCATATTGACAAACAATATCGACTACCTATAATTTATGAGTGAAACCACAGTAAACAGATAGACTGTAAGACGGGCTTATATGTTGTTTCGAGGGAGCTCTAAGAAAACCGTGATAGTTACCATGGAGTGCGGATCTCCAAACCCCCTTGTGCTCTTTTTAGATTTTTGAAAACATCTGCACATCTGGTGTAGCCTTCAAAGTGGCAATGGTTTCAGATGTGAGTATTTGAATAGAGATCCTACTACTTATGGTTGGAGTTGATTGCAAAAAAAACAATAACTTTATATGCTCACTATGACTGAGTAGTCAAAATGTGTAGAATACAAATTTCCACGTGCTGGTATTTGACAGCCCTATCAAGATTGGTACTATAATACACTTTTAACACTCTAGAAGATGATATAATTCAAATCTCTTGCATCGTGGATATCTGAGAGAGGTGAATAATATACATATGAAAAAAAAATTATGCAAAAAAGAATTATATGGCATCGAGATGCTGCCTAATTTCGATTATTTTATGTTAGTTACCTTAAGCTGAAAACTGGCGAAACATTATAACACTTTGAAACAAATTACGTTACTGTTCATTGTAAGTAAATATTGCACTATCTTCCTCGAAAGATCAAATTCTAGGAGGAGCACAATCCTGTAATGAAGTTTATTTCAAGAAAAAATTCGGCGAAACATGATTACTGAGCAAAGTTATATCCATCGTAGGTCGTCTACGTCTTTAATTAAGGTAGTAATATTATTAGTATTTAGAATACATTCTCTGCTGTTTCCATATTCATATCTTATGTATATGAACAAGTCAGTGCACATAACGTCACTACAGTGTATTCTTTTTATATTATAGCTCGATACTGTACTTTACTACCATTGCATGGGTATCCAAATAGCAGGTTCTAGCTTTCGATCAGAGTCCAGAGGATCCTTCATAAATGTTCAATGTGTTACACTTGTTTTCACCCTTTCAAAGCACTCAGTCTTCGTTCATCCACTGCATTATTCATTCAGTTCTAAGTAGATGTAGCATTTCGAAAATTACCCTTGCAGTTTTTATGCTTGCCAATTTTTTTCTAAACTGACCAATTTTTTGTACTCTAACGAGATTATTCGTCAATTGATTACTTTTTCATAAATCAAACAAATTGTTTTATAGGGAATTAGCTTATTTTTGAACCTATAAACTTTTTTATCAGGTATTTTTAACACCAAACAGCTTGATTCTAAATTATTCAGTCATGTGATGTGCTTATCTCTGTTTCAATGAAATTTGCGACCTCCGTCAACCGTTAACACTTTGCTGACTGGTCACAAGTATACTCGTGTTTTCATTTCCGAATATTATTGACGGTCCACGAGTTAAATCGTATTTGCACTTACAATAATTTAAGTAGTATTTAAACTTGAAAGCTACATAGATCTCGGCTGCACGGGATAATTTTGGCCTGAAATAGACGGTCAGCCAAGTGTTAGAATAACTTTTTGATACGTTGTATTTTCACAGAATTGCATATTGGTAAAATATTTCTAAAAGCCGAATGGATTACTTTAAAAATTTAATACCATTAACCTCTGCCAACGACAAACTATCAATCGAAATTAACCAACCACTGTTGATTCTCACGAAAAGCGGTTAGTTGACAACAGTGGCGGAATAAGCACTGCGAAGTAACAATAAACATCATTCGTCTGAACAAGTAACAGGAGTCTAACAAGTGTACATTTTCATTGATTGGTAATAATTAAGATCCATTAAGAATTTACACTTTTCACAAGAAAGAATTTAGCAGTCAGCAAACTCGATACTGCTTGAAAGAATCTTTAAAATTATATACATTACTAACGTGCCGTAAATTTCTGTAAACGCATTATATGAATTCAGTTAGTATAATATATTAAAGTACAACTTACAGCACTTATAGGAAAACTAGGCAGGCTGGTGATAGAAGGTGAACCTGGTTGAGGTGGTCTCAGTTCGCTCGCTGCGATTGCTTGTTGTAATTGTTCATATTTCGGACCACGGAGATACCTTTCTAAACAAAGTACAACCGTTTGACCGGTACTTCTCAATACCTCAACAGCTTCATGATTCGAATAGCCTTGCAGGGAGTGTCCATCGACTTCGACGATTCTATCGTTGATTTGAATTTTGTTACTGAGATCAGCTGCACTACCCTCACTGATGCTCTTGACAAATATGCCCGATAGTTCCTCTGCAGCATGAAAAACAACAAAAAATAAATAACTTGAATATACATATATTTATCATGTGTCGAATGTTAATATACGTTACGAAGAAATACGTTACAATGAAATATAAATTTATTCAACCGAATAACCAAAACAGGGTGACATAAGAATTTGACAATTTCCAAATAATCTTCATTACAGTGTAAGAGTAGTCTTAAAGACTTGAATAATACCACTTGGTACTTCGAGAACAATGCATTAAAGAGTTCAAATGGTACGAAAATTGTACGTTGCCATAAGATCTGACTTTTTCAATCGAAAAACATATTCGGTCCAGGCATGAAGAATGCAAGAGACTTTTCATTATTCCTCTTGATGGAGTAAAATTAAAAACTAGGAGGATCAGGATGGTGACGAGACAAAACTAAGCAAAATGACTCAAGGAATCTCTTAGTGACTTACTTATATATTGTACTTTAAGAATAACTAATACGAAGTACATTAATACCTTTCTCACAGACGTAACCGGCAATTGTAATCCCAAGACCATAAATATCTTTTTTAAGCTCAACTGTGAAACGCTCCATCTCCGGCAATGAATTAACGTCCAAGGTCTCCATTGAAAGCACTGGCAAGTTTTGAATTTGCGCTGGAACTGGAACTCCTGGAATAATCGGAACTGCTCCGATTGGTACGGGATTACGTACCACGTCCATGATGAGGCTTGGCCGGGTCTTGAATCAGCAAATATTTTTCGTTATAATATCAAGTTATCAACAGTTTTTAAATTATAAAATGCTCGTGCTTTTGTTAACCAATTCGGCAATGACTGAAAAATAAATAAATAGGGCTTATCAAGTCGGACAGTGGGTTCGGCTGCACAGTGATAACGATAAGTGCCCGACTTAGCAGTCTGAAGGTATCGGGCTCGATTCCCGATCAGAATTCCTAATTTTTCGGAAATTCCTAGCCCTCTAGCGCTCCTGGCGGCCCTATGCATAGATTACTTACAGCGGGGGCAAGCTGGGCACCCCGTTATAACACATATACTACATATTTTCTAATTTGTAGTGAAAATTTGCAGAATTTTTAGTCTGCTCTATAAATGATTAATATAGTCAACGTACATAAGATATAGACTATCGATCAGACAAACACATTATCGCTAGTATGTCATTACAATGATCGACTCTCATTTTCAAACTATCTATAACACATATTATACTGTATTTATTCATATTATAATTGAATCTCTACGATTTCAACTACTGGAGGGGATTCGTTGACAGTATCGACAGAATGAAACTACGCTTATTTCAGATTTAACACAACTGTAACCAGTGGCATAGTACAATAATATGTCAGTTGTCAATAAGATGCACCTTAAGAAACATGTTCATTGTTTCCTTAATGTGAGGCCATCATTGCTCTTCAACCTTTTATATCAATGCTTAGTTCCGTAACAAGGGCAGTGCAATAGAAGATTTAGTGTATCCATGATACCACAATGTAGGTTCTACTGTAGAGTAGAATGTTAATAATCTGTGCTAATTTTTGACGCATATGGATTATTAAATGTTAAGTTTAGTGAAAAGTTTCAAACTGATGATTTTTAACATTGATAAATAATCTGTTTCTGCAAATGACAAGGAAAGTAAATTAATCTAATTGTATTATTTTTTACAATTTTTCTTCCAGAACAAACATAATATAAAAATGTTTGTAATAATTCGATACAATGATGTTATGAATAAATAATTTAGTGACAATGTTTATAAAATAAAATTGCATCATTACATAATCGTAGCTGTGATAGATTGAATCTAAATTAAGTGTAAATCAGCAAAAAAATGAATTGCATTTAAATGCCCATAATACCGGGATCGCATCGGGATCGCCGCTATAACTAGCGAAAACTAATGGCGAGTTACTCGTAAACACCAATGTAAACCCAGAGTGAAAAGGCGAATGAAGATAGTCGTTTTCATTAGAGTCTAAATACTTACATGCATCTCGATATCAGGCTCCTGCGAGTACACGTATCCATTATCATAACTAGTATCCCCCTGGAGTTGTCGTGCGTTGTAGGTTTCTGGGACACTTTGCACCAAATGTCTCTCCAACTCGTCCGGGTCTCCGAGAATTTTCGTGGGGACGATTGGAGCATGACTTCCAAGAGCCTGTACAATTAATTAAATGACAATGACAATTCAAGTCTGTTTACGCAACTGCCTCATCAATCACAGATCTACCGCATACTTAAGGGCTTACGACAGAGTATTGTAGAATTTTCAAAAAATTGCTTCTTTTCATTTTTTTTAAATTCTATAATGCTGAAAATTATTTGTTGTAATATTTATCGCGAAATTCGGAGAATTGTAAAAGTTGTAGAGGATTACGCGTAAAGCGGCTGCACCATGCGGCGTGGCCGGCGCGAACAGATATATGCGTTTCAGGTATATGGAGTGAGTGAAATTTCGTCGGTTAGTCGTTGAAGTCAGCAAGTATAGAGCTGTAGGAATTATTATATTGATCGGTGTATACGAATTCAAGAAGCAGAATAAAAAAGCTAATATCAGCGATTCGAATGTAACAAGAGGTAAGTAACAAAGTAACTAAATGGCTTGTAAAACTTTCAACGCGTTTCTCTCAAAACATGGTTTCAAATTTGGCGTCCCTGATATCTCGAAAACGACTCGACAGATTCTTATGAAAAATTATGACAACATACTTGAAAGGGCTCCTCTCTTGTTGACGTTTTCACTTTTCATTTTTTAAAGAGTCATTATACGCGGAATATAAAACATTCTTGCTTTTGTACTGATATATTGAAATATAGCATCAAGATATTTTACTACATGATAACTTTGTCCTAATTACCTCATAATTTAAAATTCAATCGTTAACTCTAAATGCAGTAACAGTTACGCACCTGGTAATCTGGTGAGGTTGGCTCGACTGGTCGAGCAACGACAAGACGAACGTGAGTGCCCGATTGTCGCAACACTGCAGCAACTTGCTCGCTTCCCATCCCGCGGAGATTGACATCACCGATCTGCAAGATGTGGTCTCCACTCTGAAGCCGATTATCCTAAAATAAAAATATTTTTATGCTAACGGTCTTCGATATGTATTACTATCATATTAATTCTTTTTAATGCATTGAATAAGTAGTTGACCTCCACGAAACAACCTTCCGTGTAAAAACCTCGCCAAGTACAAAATTTCTGTAAATTCCCCACCTTAAAAGAAAATACTGATATCATGCATTATTGTTTTACTAACAACAAATATTGATATCATATTATAATCCCAAGTACATAACTCAGTGCATATGAGGAAAGAAGTGCGATAGAGGAAAGGGTAAGAGAAATCTTGGACGGAGGAGGCGTAGGTGAGGGATAAATGAAAGGCAGAAACGAAATAATAAAAAGGAGGCGGAAGAAAGAGATACAGAATGAAAAAAGGCATGGAAAGAATGAAACGGAAGCGGAGGTCAAAGAGCGTGCGAAATAAAATATGGGTAAGAAGAGAAGGAGAGATAAAGATGAGTGGGGGAGGAGAAGAGGGTGCGAGAGAGAGAGAGAGAGAGAGAGAGAGAGAGAGAGAGAGAGAGAGAGAGAGAGAGAACCGAGTGAGCGTGTAAGGGAAAGCAAATAGAACGGAGCGTAGATATACGGAAGTAAAAGTAAAAGGAGATGCGAATAGGAATAAGATGAGAATGAAATGTAAAGACTATATACATATATTAGATCATAAGTAATAGAACAAGGAAAGGTGTCAAGGAAAGCGGAAACGGAGCCTTGTAACCCTTAGGGGATACAATAAACACACATACATAAGTCACTATATGTATACTGCATGTTTTACGATTTGACACTAGCTCATCATTTTAATTGTACTTTCGAAATTTCTTATAACGGCTTCGCGACTCTTTTATATTACTACTGCTTTTTATATTTAATTATAATTTAATGGTCATTTAATCTTATATATAAAAATCTCGTGTCACGGTGTTTGTGGTCGCACTGTTACGAAACGGCTCGAACGATTTTTATGAAATTTTTCATGTATATTTGGTAGGTATAAGAATAGATCGTAAAGTATATTTCATACCGCTAGGTGATTAGTGTGTCCCTATCAAGAAAAATTTTTTGTATTTTTTTGGACCAAAATTTTTTTTGTATTTTTTTTTATTCGGCATCAGATAATACCTATAACTCCAAATTTTCACACTCCTACCTCCACCCTTCCATATCTTAATACGCGATAATCTTATACGCGATTTTAGTATTTTTTTTATGAACAATATCCAAATAATTTAATCGTCGTTCGTGTTTCAAACAGAACGAAATTATTTATATCGTTGAACGATAGATGGCGCCACGTTCGCCTCATCAAACTTTCATCCACGGATGCGTCACGCACGCACGTCATTTTGACATTTCGATCATGAAATGTCAATTTTGATTTATAAGCAATATATACGTATTTTATGATTGTAAAAAGGTTGATAAAGTAGTATAAGTTGGAGAGTTCTGGATATAGATTCCTGCACCGACATAATACCGACACTCCAGAGCCTTCGAAGGTGGGTGTCCGTGCTAAGTTATCGTCGTGAGCTCTACGATTTCTGGAAGTGACGTCATCAGGACCCCTCGATTCCAAGAATTTTCGCTCGATTCCGGGAATTTTGCGCTCGATTCTAGGAATTACGCACGATCGAGAACCTTCTAGAACATTCTAGAACCTTCTAGAACATTCTGGAAGCTTCGACGGTTCGTGTCCGTGCTAAGTCGGGAAGGATCGCTCCCAGAGCCGGCGGTCCTCTCGCGCGACGTTTTGAGACAGCCCCTTGCCCCCCACCCCGGAAAGCCATCCAGAAGCTTCGACGGACTCGTGCACGTTCGTGCAGGTCTCGGACGTCAGCCCTCAGTCCGTTTGACCTCGAACGTTATCTCGCAGAATTGCGCAGCATCGCTGATGCAATCCTCCAGGAATTTTCCAGAACTTTTGTCCCTAACTTCATAGCGCAGGCTAGTGCGTAGCATCGGTGAATCAGAGAGAGAGACGAGCGGCATCCCCTTTGAGCTCAGTGCCGAAAAGCGGTTTCGGCGACTTTTGCGTCGAGGTTGATTCCAGGAAAAACGATACCCTTTCCCATGCAGATTTCGGACGGTAGGCGACTCGACCTCGAACGTTATCTCGCAGTGGTGGCGCGTTAGCCTCCTCATTCCACTGAGAATCCCCCATCCCCCGATTCGTCAGCTTCCTCATCCCACTGAGAAGCTTCGCGAATTCCCCATCCCCCAGCCTCGTGCGAGAGCACCGGCGAGTTCAAAGTCATCCATGTATCGGTTGTTCTAATGCGCAATACCGGTAAAATACTAAAAAAACAAATACATTCATCAGTAAGTACAACAATTTTGGTCTATTTGTGTGTGTGTGTATTACAGTGAACAATTTTAATTTATAAGAAAGGTTGGTAAAATACTAAAAGAATAAATCCATTATCGGTATATCGTTTTTCATCAGTAAATAAAACAATTTTGTCTATTTGTGTGTGTGTGTATTACAGTGAACAATTTTAATTTATAAGAAAGGTTGGTAAAATACTAAAAGAATAAATCCATTATCGGTATATCGTTTTTCATCAGTAAATAAAACAATTTTGTCTATTTGTGTGTGTGTGTATTACAGTGAACAATTTTAATTTATAAGAAAGGTTGGTAAAATACTAAAAGAATAAATCCATTATCGGTATATCGTTTTTCATCAGTAAATAAAACAATTTTGTCTATTTGTGTGTGTACAATGAAAAAAAATTCAGTTGATTCAACTAAATGTATTTTGTTGATTAGAGATTTTGTCGAGTCAACAAAGTAAACAATGCTGACTGACTGATCCGGGTTAATTCTCGCATTTAGTTGAAATAACAGATATTATGTTTGTTCACTTGAATAACGATTTGTTAATACAAATAAATACTTATTTTGATGTAATCCAACTGACAGTACAGACCGTTTATTTTATTTAACAAAATGTTTTGTTGCACTGAACCGGAAAATACGTTAAGATATGTTTGTGATTTGGTTGAATCATGCAATCTTTCTGTTGAAATATCTAATGCAATTGAACTAAATCATTTCGCGCATAAATGTGTATACTGATTTGGATGAAAAAAATTCTATGTTGACCTGATCGAAAAATTTGTTGATAAAACCCCGTGTGTCAACTGAATATCTGGTTATTTCAAAACCCTCTGTATGTTAGTACAAATATATATCGAATTATATTCACCAGTTACTTTGTTGAATGTGAGGTAGGTATGATGATAAACTTTATACCATTTCCTATCATTGATCCAAATAATTCGTTTATTTGATTTGAATTTCAACTTAGTTAGAACAGACATACGCACTTTCTCGACAGCACTTGGTTCTACGAATCACAGATAGTGTTGACTCAAATATGGCTTCATCTTAAGTCAACATTATTGTATTTCGATTAATATGATGCCGTACGGTTCATCCAAACCTTTTTTTCAGTAAAATAATAAAATTTCGTTCAAACACCTCTAGGACCTGCCGGTGGCCGCTAAACTCGACGGATCCGTTTCGGTCCACCGATAGGTGGCAAGCTGTTTCCGCAGTTAAATATAAGTAGTATATAGAATAAATCTGTTCTTATCAGCTTAATATCTGATACGTTTCCTATTGGGAAACCAGAATATTAAACTGATTTTTGGAACTTGGCGGAGTAACTGGGGCTTGCTCCGACTGTGCCGCGGGTTTGATGATTGCTTCAATGAATAAAAACCTTCACTCGTAGTAAAGCGATTAAGCTGCTGATTTAATAATAGCTTTTGTTATTTCAACCTGATTAGCAACGAAACGTTAAATGTATTTAGTTGTTGTAAACCAAGAATTACTAATACCAAAAAATCACGTCGTCAAATGATGTACTGTATTGTTTGGTGTTGATACCTGCACTTTCTTGGTTCAACGGAACGGACATTTCCTACAACATTGGCTCATTTTTGTTTCAAGCCAGATTCCGTTACATCAACAAATAATATTTTTATTCGAAACAAATATTTCCATTTTTTTGCAAAAATATTTATTTGGAAAACATGACCTTTATTTCTTCGAAAACTGAGATAATTGAAGCAACAAAATGTTACATTACTCAAATAAATATACACGTCAAATCGACTAAATATTCGATGATCATTAACTGAATTTGGTCCAAACAACACAATATCACATCACACGTATTGTATTTCATTTTGCACAAACAACGAATTGTTTTGTACGTGTTACATAATATTTATTTGACCGTATAGACCCGCACGATTTAGTTGAATCAAAAAAAATTTTGTTGAGTCAACTGACTTTTTTTTTTTAGTGTATGTATTACAGTGAACAATGCCAGCAAGACGCAAGGGGGCCCATTTAGACTGTCGAACGAATAAAGCAACAAACATGCGAAATAGCAGAGCAGAAAGAATAGATGAACAAATCCAACAAGATAACGAAAATATGCGTGTGAGCATGTAGCAATTGCGTGCATCTCAATCACAAGAGGCACGAGTTGAACGAAATCAACAACGACAATTGGAACGGAGACAAGCGCGCCGGTTCGTAGTTAACACACGCAGAGCAAATGACCGACAACGCCAACAAGTACATCGAGCATTTACATCCGCTTCGTTCCTTTGCCTCGCATTCGAGTACGAGCCAGATATTGAATATTCCGCTCAACCGAAAGTGCTGATTGGTGCTATGGGCAAAGAATGTCCCCATTGTCATGCGCTCAAATTCAAACATGAGTCAGCCGGGATGTGTTGTGCTTCAGGAAAAGTGCAACAACCAGAAATTGAGACACCACCAGAACCATTGAACGGCTTGCTCATCGGCACGGATCCAGATTCAAACCTGTTCCTGAAGTCCATTCGCACATTTAATTTATGCTTCCAAATGACTTCGTTTGGAGCAACAGAAATAGTTCACAATACTGCAGCAAATGGTCAACAATACAATTTAACATTCAAAATCAAAGGCCAAGTAAGCTCATAAAGTAAGCTCATTGCTGCCAATGCCAAACGAACCACATAAATTTTTACAAATCTACTTCATGGGTGCTGAGGACATCAATCGTGTGGATGCATGTTGCGCTGGGTCATCTATTACGTCATCTATTACACGCCTGGTCGACTAGTAATTTATAAAACGTTATGAGATTTCTTATCGAGTATTACTTAGCGGATCCGTGCCAGAAATCAGTGCTGTAAAATTTTGGGCATGGATCCACAAACGATGCATGTACAAATCATAAAGTTACATACACACTCATGTCTTATGATTTTTTTTTAATGGTGAATGTTATCTATATAATTACTGAAAAAAACAACATAAAACACTTATATTGCAGTAATATTTACAAGACTTGTTTTTCCATTTACTAATTAAATTAGTAGGTATTTTTATATCACCGATTTAATTAATAGAATTTCACTAATTTTCAGTCCTTCGTTTATAACTGCGATGATCAGTGACTATATACCATTGCTTGTAGGCTATCAGTTCAATAATTTCTCGTTCATCTCATTTCATGCTGTTGTCGATATAATATTATTTTTTCAAATTATGGATACTAATTAACTATTCGATTTCATCAAATATGACTCATCAAGTATTTAATTGATTTCAACATGTTATCGAAATTTCTTTTTTAATTCTAATAGGGAAATAATATTTTTAATTATTTATTGGGACCAATAATAAGATAAGCTAGTTGTTCCTGACATTCAGTTATCAATCAAATTCAATTTTTGTCATACAAACAATCTTGTAGCAAATATCAATAAAAACTGAACGGGCTTTTTAAACAATTTTCATATCACTATCTTACATTTCACTTGTCAGTGCATCGACAAGGCCTCCTTTACTGTAGTATTAAAAAGTGTTTGACCATCTTGTCTTCCAACAGGACAAGCATTCCTTCGAACAGACAGAATTAATCAACTATCTTTGATGCAACACAAAGGATTTAAACACCCTCAACTCTCTCATCTTCCTTTCCCCGTTTCGTCATTCTCTCTCATACTTCACTTTTTCTCTCTCATTTACCTACATGACTCAATTAAACCCAACCACTAAGAACAAGTCCAACGCCAACCGTATTTCATTAAGAACCATTTATAGGTGTCCATAAGATGAAAGTGATTATAGGATAGAGAAGACTTTATTGGATGAGTGATCTTTGAGAAAATGGAAAACCAGAGTGTGTACTTCCGTCATGCTGGGTAAAGGGTCTTGAAAAGCCCTCTAGAATACAGGAGGGAAAAAATGAGATTACCGGAAAATAGGACATCACTTTAGCTACTATATGATTACATTTAAAGAAGAAGGCAGATGAAGTTTCCTTTAAGGAATAGAAATGTTGAATCAGTATATCTCGCCAGACAACGGAGGCTCTAGTGTCATTTCTTATTGCAGGAGTAGAAATAAAAATTCTAGGGGTATGTAGAATATTATTCGCCAACTACATTTATAACCAAACTAAATTTAGAATGATCAAGAGGTACTAAAATAGTAAATTATAATATAGATCTTGCAGGATTATTGCAAACGTTACAAGTACCATTTTAATGTAAAACTTTTGTGTAGTATCTTAACAGCTTTTTGTATTGTGATAAAAGTAATAGAAGATATCACCATAATTTAACTTAAATTGCATGATAACCTATATTTTCACGTTTAAATCACTAATGCAAATCAACCCGGCGAAATGGAACTAACAATGATCTTTGAATCTGGAACGAGATACCAAATTTGTCCATGAGCAATTCTAAATGTAGAAGGGAGAAGGAAAAGGAAGTTGATCATGAAAAAGCAATAAGGGTGAAAATGGCGTCCGGTTATTTTAAAGGGGAAAAAGCGTCGAATGATTTATTGTGCACATTTAAAATCAATTTATTGCGGAAGGAGGATGAGGTCAATAAAGTGGGGAATGGAATGAATATTAATTGGTGCAATTATCTTGGTTAAAAATAACCGACTAATTCACGCGAAATTATAATTAAATCTCAAAATGAAATACTCACGCGATCAGCAACTCCTCCGGGGAGTATTGTCTTGACGACGACTCCGGTACTCCGACCACCAATAATTCCGAAACCAAGACCGCTGCCATCATTGATCAGGTTGATCACTTCTACCTGTGCCCATTCCGTGTTTAGCTAAAAATATTTTAAAAAACAGACAAGAATTTATAGAGAATCTATTGATATGACTCTTTTTATTACATCGTTTAAAATTATCAATTATACTTTAGCATTTGTACAACCAGATGTAGAAAAAATTGTTAATCTGCAAAAATTTCGTAAAGTAAATATCTAATTCCTATTTCGCCTTCCCTATCTCTATTCCTACCCTATCCCTATCCCGATTTCTCTATTAGTATACAATACATAACATGTATTATTTTGTGTAGTTACTTTTTCTTCGTTTTTAGGCATATTATTAAATGACATGTACGTACGTTATTAGAATAAGTTTCAAAGTTGTTATATTAACACGCTTAATGCATATAAAAATTATCAAGGTTTACATCTCTAATACATGTTAATATAATACTTTCACAGGTAAATTATGAAATAATACTCTTGGAATGGAATAAAAAGTGACTAAACAAAATAATAAAGGCAAATATGTTAATATAACAAACGTAGAATTGTAATGCAATGCTCTTCACAAGTATTTGTTGAATTAATGAGTACCTCATATTTGATATTGTATTTCCTTATTGTTCTTTAATAATACACGCTGAAAAATTATTACTAGAGTAATGTGTAGTATTTGGCGAACAAGAAATTTTAATGACAATGACAATAAACCAGTTTTACTTCATAAATCTTACAAAAATGGCTGTCGTCGTTAGAATTTTATTATTGCCCAAATATTAACCCTTTCGCTACAACGCGAATTTTTGAACTTGCACTAGTAGGCCACGCTACAAATTTCATATTAAAAATTTTATGACAAAGAACTGCGAAATATATTTAAAAAACAGTACAATCTTGTCAATAGCAGATTTTCAATCGTTAATATTTATGAGTAATTTACAGCACATTGCTACGAGATTATTTTTTGGTGAGAAAATCTACATTGTATACCTCCTGTAATATAAGAGAATCATCTTATTTGACATGGATATTCAACTACGTGAATGAATAGTAATTAACGATTACTAATGAACTCTATTAAAAGAATTATTTTATAATCGGAAAGTGATTATGAAACAGATCATGATAATGACTTATCAGTTCAGACCTACGCCATTTATAATTTACCTCTTTCGTGCGTATGGCACATGATTAATGATAGTGTTCATATAATTTTACAGAAACAGGATACAAAATTCCTACCCTAGTACAAGTTTTCCTCTGTCAGTCCAGGGCCTGTCTAATTCTCTATTGGGCCAATACGGACCCAGCAAGGATCTTGACGGGCTCTCTATTTTCATAATGAAATTCCTGCTAAAGAATTTTACAATAGCCAGTTGTAACCATAGTAAGGAACAAATACTTTAGTGGAATATAGTAGAATAATGTTATGAAAATGTGTGGTCGTTTCTGAAACGCTTTGCGCATTCGTTAGGGGTGTGGATGCACACACTTATACAGGGTTATAGAAAATATCGATCTGATCATAGTACCCGTTATATTACAACAAATGATATTATATTTTACTGGACGATGTTTAATAAAATAGTGACTGACTTGTGGTGTATTTGTACTGTACCCCAATTTTTATAGAAACTAATGTCACGTGGAAAATAGATGTGAAATTATCATCATCTCTATCATAAAGTCGATACAGGTCCTTGCCATTTTCCTTTCTTTCATTTTCTGATTCATCTTTATGTTTTTTTATTTACCGTTATTCAATTATTAACTCATAATATAATGTAAAGGTTGTAATCGTAAAAAATAAAAAAAGGGAACTAAACATTCTTTTACAACCTGCAAGTAATAAATACGGACAGAAAACATACATGTATTGTTGAGAGACTTTACTTGGGATTTTGTTTTTGCTCTTCTGCATTTTTCTATCATTTTATTCCTCTATTTAAGGCAAGTATCACTTTGATATTCATATACAGACTGTTAATTATTATTAACATTAAATTTAGTTAGAACAAAAATAAATTCAATAGTAGGCAGATATCATCACAGCATTTGAGTTCATTCTAAAGTATCGGTTAATAAACGAATTCGTATAATTATTTGAGTTGTTATCAAGGAAAATAGAGAATAAATCATAACCTTGAATTGTTAAAATTTAATGATTTGGACAAATATAGTGACGTATACTTTTGGAACCTACATTATTATTCTAGACAATTAACGAAAATATTTGGATACTTTATTTTGTTAAATGTTGTAACCCTTTGAACTATGGTAGTACTCAGGAGTACCATCTGGCAGCTCTATAAATTAACATAGTAATTTATATCCGATTCAAGCGAAAATTAGTACCCGGAGGTTTTAAGGTTCTCTGAATTGAGATCTGAAGTAAGAATATTCAAATTCAAAATAGCTAACCCAATATGGCGGATCTAAATAATTTCGCTGTAACAAAAAGTGCTCTTTTATTTTCTTTGATCTCAATTATTATGAAATTCAGTATTCGGCAGTTTTTGATGTCGCTGATTGCGAACGTGGACTAAAAATTCAGGAATTTAAAATGGCGAATCCAATATAGCGAACCAAAATGAAAAAAATTGACATAACAACATGACGTATCCAGTATGACAGAACTAAGTAATTGAGTTTAGATTCATAATCAACGACCTCAAAAGTCTCTTGAACAAGAATTTTCATATAAATCAGTTTATTTTTCATCGCTTCAGGCCGCTATATTGAACCCGCCATTTTTAATTTCTGAATTTTGAGTTCAGATTCATAATTAACGATCACAGAAACCTTCGAGTATCAAATTTCAAGTAATTAATAAGTATGTAAGAAAAAATGTATGCTTCAAAGAGTTAATGGGTCGCATAAAATACGTTTTTGATCAATGAACATCTAAAGCCGCACACTTTATTAATTAATTAGCAATCTATAGCTTATATTCGAACAAATAATAGAGATGCCAATATAAATGCTGTGTTTTATAAATATGTCTAGCGAGGAAACAGTTTCCGGTACTCCCCTCCGATTTTGTTCATTTCGAGATGTTATTCTTTACAGAAATTTCAGTAATACGTATTTTTTTCTATTGACGGAAAAACGGTTTTAAGGAATGAAATGAACTCCCAAAATTAAACATCTTTAGCAGTAGTTTCACAGTTTTTACTAATTCCAGTTGAGATATCTAAATGAAACCACTTACATAATAATGTTCATGACAAATAATGGAAAATGAATTTTGTTCAATTTTGATGGGGTGAAATTACATAAATTTATAGGAGTTGAAAGTTACAACATTTTTATAACAAAAAATTATGCGTAGTATTTTAATGAAACCAATTTGCATTTCTATACCATTATACGCTTCTTCAAATTTTTTCGAAATAAAAAGAATTGTAAAACTGCGATTTTACAGTATCTGCTATTTTGAATTTCGAACTTTAAAGTCCAGAATTCATTTCGGCAACCTCCGAAACTTTTGAAATCCAAGACTTCGCTAACGTACAAGTAACGCCAGACGGGGTCAGAATACGAAAGGGTGGTTTTTGTAAAAAAAGACAACCGAACACGTTATTGAAACGAATAAGTTTCTTAGTTAACGCATAAAAAGAATTTTGTAATTGGAAAGGGAAATTTAAGGAAAATAATGCGATTTTAACGGAAATTTAATTGCATACATATGAGTAGGGGAAGTTTACCCTTTAAACGAGGTGATTTTTTAAAAAGCGCAGACACCCGTTTCTGTAAACTTCAATTTATCGCCACTGAGGTGTCAAATTTTATTCTCCTTGCGCGATTATTCTTAGGTTAGAACAGACACATGTGTCAATGGATACAAAATTCCGTGTATAGTTTAGACTTCTCAATTTAATTAAACTAGAAAAAAGTCTTCTCTTTTGCACTTCTTTTTCTAATTTCTGTAATTCTTATGTACATATTTCTGTGAAATATTCCTTCGACCATTTTTCACACGTGGTCACGCAATTCGCCTGTTTTCTTTACAGTTCTCTATCTCGATCTCCATTCTATAACGTTTGCTAAAATAATAAAGCATATAAAAGGCTGGAACATCATAGTCTTATTAGACAATCTCATGGTGGGTAAATTTAACACGATGATATGTATCCAATCTGCATGTAATTGAGTAAGATACAAGAGACGATACTCTTAGTGTTATTGGCCTAGTGTAAGCAGGCCTTGCGGGCTGGCTCGCGACGAAATCTACGCTCCGTTTAAACACGTTCTGATTGGTCGCATTACTGAAACTTCAACCTTGATTATCTAGAAATTTTGATATATGAAATAAAAAATGAAAATACACGTATTCTTTAGAATTTGACAAGGAATGCAACGATGTTACTACAGTGCGTTTCATTAACGAACACCCTGTATAAACGAATTATTAACTAAGCTACGACACGCATGTTTTCAGGCTATGCCAAAGTGCAAGAGAGCACACGGTCAACTACAAGTTCACCGATCACTACGGTTCCCAGTTAATACCCATATATACAGACTTATTCAGTAGAAACACACCAGCTGAAGTTGGGCCCAAGTGGCCGACACGGCAGTGTGGCCTCTTCAAAAAATGACATCTAGTCACAGGTCATCGTCACTAATTCAGATAAGCACGCACTGACAGTTCGCATAGCAAACAGTTAGGTTTTTGAAATATTTCAATAGTTAGGTTACTGAAATGATTAGTAACCTCCTTCTGCCAGTAACTAAGGGATGGATGAAGATAAGAAAATTGAATAAACCCAAGTCCTCAGATTCCCCAACACTCTTTGGTAAGCGTCTCCTATGTCCCTACCACACCGCTAAATTCCCAGTAATATCCTAACACTCCTGTGAATCCTTTTTAGATATCCTGAAACTGTCCTGACAGTTATTGTAGGCTGTTGTAAAAATAAATCTTAAATGATATTACATTTTGTCATTACAATAATAATAGTAATTAACTATTTCAGTAACCTTACTATTGAAATACTTCAAGGTGAAATAATTAAAAGGTTGGAAGAAAGATAGGTGAAATAATCAACTGGAAATATGTAATCAAAAATTCTAAATGATCAATGCTGCCCTATCATATTGCGATTTAAAAATAGAAGGTGATATTGGATACCGTGTTATAAAAAATTCACCTGATAATTCTTCAATCACTCGACCCCGTTTCACAATTTAGAAATAGGATTCATTTCGAGGTAACATATATGTGCATTATCCAGAACGTTATTAAATTTCGAAAGTCTAGACATTGGAGGCATCGATAAAATACTTACGTTATATAGGGCACGGCTATAACGCACAGTTATTGAACACAGTAACATATTAAAATACTATCCAGATCAAAATTTTCCCAACCGAACTAGGAATTCGCTGATCACTATGGTTCCCACTTAATACCTATACATAGGATTTTCATTAGTGGGAACAGTTAAACATTATAAAAAAATCCCATTTTTTGTTAAAGGAAACAAAGAGTACTGCAAGTATCTACAATTGCATTACGAACAAATAACTTTGTATGATACTATTACAGCCACGTAGGGTGACTCAATCCAGACGAGAGACTTGGGCATCGATCGCCGGTACATTGAAAAAATGAATTTGTAACGTCAATAGAAATTTAATTCACATAACCGCACATGCTGGTTACCGGTGAACAATCATGTGTTAAATCATTTCAATCGTACAGCACGGTAATTCTTTCCAAATTTTTTAATCAATCGAAATGATTACAAATCAAGATCAATGGAACACTCTTTTATACTTCGTGCAATTGAATTTTTTTTGAATTAATGAAACATACAACTTATTCAAACAAATACAATTACTTTATCCGATTTTCATATGCTTTACAGTAGCTTCTAGACTATTTTTAACATTATTACTTCTACATAAAAACAGCCATAAAAAACATGTTTTCTATTCTCAATTGAGAATCGGTACGATGCACGTGTTAATACGGAGTCACAATAAATTGGCCAATGTCGCGAAAATACTACAGCCTCATTTAACTTAAGAACGTGTTAAATATCACGAGCACGACTGATCGCCATTACAGCGTGTCTCCGACTAACTGTCGCCGAGCCTTTCCCATCTTGACTGTAGTCACTACTGGCACGCTCAACACCCGAACCCATCGTGAGAATTGACGCGCTAACTCTTACAAAAATATAAGGTTCATTAACAATGCATTTTATTGGAAATTGATATTTTTATACTCTAACTACAGTACTTACGCAACCTTATGTATTTATACCAAAAATCATAACCTCCCAGGGATGTCCTGATTAGACTCCAAGTGATCAAGATACTTAGAGTAGCTGTGTCGCTACGCTAACACATTTATATTAAAGTGTGCTACGTAAAATTATTATTCTGATATTATATGAGAGAGATACACTTTAATTGTCGCCCTAGCAGACAAATTTTCGAGTACACAATTCTTCATTTTCTAATAACCATAGACGCTAAACGCAATTCACACTTGAAACAACTATACCAGTCTCATTATTTTAATAACGGTGTAATCAATTCAAATCCGCGTCGATTAATCCAAATACATTTTCTGTGATTGTAGCTGGTAGTTGATATTACCAAGTCTTTTCTCAATGCAAACACGAATTGCCAAAAAGTTTGCAATATTGCGGAAAACCCTTCGAAATAATTATTCATAAATAAAAGCATAATAAGTTCATCGAATTACAGAATTGTGTAAGATGCTAACATAGATTCGTACGTTGGGCTATTTAACGCTTTATTCAAAAGAAAAAAAAACGGTATGTCAAAGAAAAACCATTTGTTGGTTACTTGGATCCAAAGCCCTTATTGTCAATTTCCATATAGTGGCATGTTAAAATACGCGAAGGCTAAACCTCAAGCCATAAAAAACTTTAAACACCTCCACAAAGTAGCCCCAGTTTACGATAACCGACAAGAGCTGGTATATCGTAAATGGTAACGAAAGTGCGGAAAGCTAAAACCCACATTATACCAGATGAGTGAGCAACACAAAATTCTTTTCTTCACGTCGCCAAGTAAGAAAGTTTAGACACGTAGAGGTGAATTAATCATCGTAGCTAAGAGAATGCGTAATGGACTGTAATAATATAGTAAATGATAATAATCGTGATCCTCCCGGTCATACCATAAAAGATTGAGGTGATGCATATCCTGTGCTTTGTTTAGGGATGACTTCGCGTTTAAATAAATTTAATCAGCAAAGATATGAAGTAACATACCACGACTTTAACCTTCTCTTAGACCTTTTCATAAATCGTTTTTCATTCTCGACAAAAACGGATCAAGTAAGATAAAAAAAATCGGTCTTAATATTTATGTACTCGTATGGGCCCGTTTGCACTTCCTTATTAGACATATAATTAAATCAAACATCTCAAATAAATAACTATCGTAATAAGCATCCTTGCTCAAAAAGGCTTAAATAATATTTTTGCGCATAGTAATAATATGTTATCTGCCGCACTTTCTTCTACTTTCAAGTGAATTATTTAGAAATATCATGCGGGTAACTATGACAGCTGATAAATGTGAAAATCCTTGAACATTGAAAAAATACGAGAAAAATGACTGGTAATATTTTTGTTTAAATTATAGACATATTATCTATGACCTTTAGGAGCTGTAAGAGCTGGCGATGAGTAATAATGGGTCTTATAAAGATAACTTACCACCATGTCAGAGCCAGTTTTGGAAGCGTCGCTAACAGCGGAGGGACTTCTTTCGACGACAAGTCCTCCGGGAACGGGTGTTGAGGTTGGCGTAGGAGTAGGACCTGGGGTAGCCGCTGTAGTGGTACTTGATTGACTAGGAGTTGTTGCGACAGGAGGTGTCGCAATCGAGGAAACCGAAACCGAAGCTGAAGCCGAATGTTCCTTATCGGAGCTCGCCTGGCTACCTGGAACTCCAGCACTGATGATTGCTCCAACCCCAGCCGCTCCTCCTGCTGCAGCTGTCGAACCCGATGCCCCGAACAATTCATCCGTCGGCAACGAACTCCCAACGTCTTGTTGGCCATAACAAACAACACAAAATTCAAGTTCAAATAGGAAATAAATAAGTATAATTCAAGGTATTATTAGCTTTAAATGTTTCTATTGAATTTAAATATTTCAGTTGCCTTAAATAAGTTATATCGCATAAAATCAGTCGGGTAACTTTTACATTGACGTTGAACGATCAATATAGTAATAAAATTATTATCGAAACAAAATATTTTGTTAACGTCATACAAGATTTAACAAAATTTCCTTAAATAGTAAAGACATTATTTGCTCTTCGAAAACACATTGGCAGAAGAGAAATTTGTAAATTAATTAAAAAAAACTTATTTCATAAACTAATGTTTTATAACGAAAATAAGGCTATCGGTATGAGACAGAACTTTCAATTCTTACGTAAATAAAACAAGTAGAAATTTAAGAAACAACAAAATCCAAACAGATATTGATCTCTGTAGGTGAAAAATCCTTTAAAATAAATAAAATAACAGATAAAATCAAAGCTTCGGATTGGTACAAGTATGTTTCATTAAAACAGTAATTTCACTAAATAGTGTAATTACCTTGGGCACTTCTGGCAACAACTAACTCTACCAGGCCACGGGCCTTTTGCAGGATTGAAATCGCCTGTTCATGGGATATATTCGAGTCCAAGGGTTGTCCATCTATAGCCAGTATTTGATCACCCTCCACAAGACGACCATCGCTGAAACACATACGAAATGCGCTAATGAAAATCACATTATTATCTGAATTATCGTACTATAAGATGTCTACAGAGGCAGCAGATGTATCCTCTGACTTTTATTAGAGGAAAAGGGAAGATTTTATACTAAAAAATAAGTCGACCGATGAGAAGAACGTACGAGAGAATGAAAAGCAGTTATTTTGCAGAAAATATACGCTTATTCTTATCAGACGGTATTTATAGTGTAATGAATGAGCGGGTTGTAATTTACGAGAGAATTACCTGCTTCATATAATTTGGGATATAACGCGATGCTCATTCGAATAGAATCTTTTTTTTAATTTTTTAAGTAAACTGGGGTAACTCGAACATCTTGGATAGAATTATGCTATCTAGACTACCCACACTAAACATCGGTTTAATGTGGATCAAGCTTAAGATTTATGACTTCTAAAGATGTTGGCATTGGTATCCTGCAGACATCGCACGTTGCACAAATAAATATATAATTACTTTTAATATTCATTAATACAAGTTTATGAATCTTTAATAGCTTGGCGATGGATAAGTTTTGGCATAAAAATTTCATAATTGCATTCACAATTATGTACATACATCACCAAAACACATTACTGATTCATTCTTATCCATGAAATTTTGTTGTTTCGGTAGCGAAATAGAAGAATCGAATTAGTTAAACCCTACCTATGTATATTTTAGTATTCATGTAAAAAACTAATGTATGGGGTATTTTACAACCCTGGGTAGGCTTTGAGGATTAAGTAAAGTCCCGAATCGATATTATAAATTCAATTTAACCCTTGAAATTCCCGATTTCTTTGACGTTTCCATTTGCCGGTTGAAAGCTTATAACTTCAGCTTTGCTTTAAGAGATCCTATAGTTAGGACTGGAAGGTGCAACTTGGAACTTAGCGAGAGTTCTAAATCCAAATTTCACTCTATAACATATCCTACCAAATTTTTGAACATTATTTTAAGTCTATAAATATGTGTTAGTCGGAACCTCTAGGTTTAAAGAGGGTCCATTATTGACGCACGCAGTTAGGCCTTGGACGATAATATCGAGTTTTGTAAAAATCATATTAAACCTCAGCTGTTCTAAAGGGGACACAATTACCAGTTGGACGTTCAAAACGGTATTTAATTTTAATGTATTTTCCTATTCTATAAAACTCACTGTTACCCTCGAAATTCTCCTGAAGAATAAAGAGAGCCCAACCTAGGTTACAATTTTGGCTCGGAATCTGCATTATTCTTGTCTTCTTATTTTTAATAGTCAACAGCTTACACATCGCTTCCACGAGCATTCAGAGTTTATTGTTTAATGTAAGAAACTCAGTTTGCAGTGCATTAACATTTTTATTTGGCTTGCTTTAGTGAAATAGTAACATTTTGAAGACGTTGATATCGAGTGTAAAGCTTTTCAATGGTATTCAAAGTCCTCGTAACGTATTACTAATGATTTCCAGAATGAAGACCCGCTGAACAACCCCTTTTTTGAACAATCTCCTGCTTCTATCTCTTTTTTTTTAGTAATTAAATGCATTGCTCATCCTATAGAAATTCTTGGGTATAAATATATATATATCACAATTAATTCACATGTATTATACCGATGCAAAACTAAACAGAACCAAGATATTATAATATAATCACAATATATTTTTAAGAAAACCTTGAATAAAAAAGAGTAGTGTTAAATAATTTTAATGAAAGTATTGATTAATTATTATATACACTGTGACGTTACATTTTGCATGTCCCGCCACTAATGGCAGGATACCGTTTTGTATGCTATGAGACGAATTTACGTCTCATGTCACAAGGCACTCGTACGGACAATCGACACTCCAGGGTCACTAAAGTTTTCGTCATATAGCATAATTAATTATATTTTATTTGTATCTATGTAACGCATAGCACGACGAACAATCGAACTGACCAACAATCCCGAGAAACTGGGGATCCAAACGGCCTTGAAGTAAGAAGGCGGAAAATCGATGGTGATGCCGGATGGAAAGGCCCCATGGTCGCAAAAAGGGCGACTGTAACGGGGGGATATTACCGAAGCTTCGAGTCAATCTGTAGGAAAACCTGCGTAGAGGACTGAGAATCCCGAGAAAGCTGCCGAAGAAGGCTGGAGGAAATACGACAGAGACGGATCGGTACTATCGTTACCGAAAGCTTACTGACCGACGGTACCCGTCGCCACGAACGGCATCCCGTCTACGACGGAAAGTCAGGGCCCAGGGCTGTAAGTCGGCTTGGAGGGCCCGAGAAGAAATCCCGAACATTTGGATGAAGTCAAGGCAGAATTCGTCAGACGTCCCGAATCCTGGAGGACGCTCCGGGGAGTCATGGGAAATACCTGGAAGCCAGATAGATATCGGTTTGGCAATCGCGAGGCCAATGCGGGAAAGTCTGCCGTCCTAGTGTAACACAATGTTCACTATATTAGGGGACTTCCCGTGCCTCAGCGATCCTACAGATTTCCCGACCAAAAGGGATATGCCGAATACCATCATAACCCTGGATGGGGAACAATAGGACAACCGCCGCCTCGAGCCAAGAAAGTACCGGCGAGAGAGATTCCCTTGATTCAAATTTCGCGCGATACCATGGGCCCCGACATCAGTGCAGCCACCCTCGAAGGCCCAGATGCAGACCAATCAGCGGCAAATGAAGAAACTATCGGGGCGCCACCATCGACAATCAAGGGAGACACTATTCATTCGTCCGCTTACCGTTCGTGCGAGTGCGCGTTATTCCGTACTCTTATATCGACAACGTCCATAGTTTAAAGTAATTTTATATCTTTTGACTATCTGTTCCCGAGTCGTCGTGAGGCGAGCCCTTACGTTACCATTTACCATCTGATTTATTAACGAGCCAGCATATTATAGTAGAGTCAGTAGAGTTGTGCTCGGAATCGGCAACGATTCCCGTGACATATGTTAAACATTCCCGTCCGGTGGTTACCTTACCGTTTTACGAGTATTCTATGCTGAGATTTCGTTCCATGATTGGTCTCTGATTATTTTGTATCATATAGTAAGTTATTATCTATTTCGTTTGTATCTGAATATTCAAGTGCCCTGGAGTGTCCCCTGCGGATGAATCCATGGTCTACCACTTCCCGGTGGACTTTGTATTGTATATTTATTTGGTATTGATTTTCTTCACGTATATTACTTCGCGTTTTTACCGTTTTGCGTCTTTGTATTTTCCTCAGGCCCGTTGGCCGCCCGAATATTATTAATCTTGTAATTTATTTTCCGCTCAAGAGAGCGACGTGTCAATATCTTTCTTTATTCTTTTATTACTGTTACTAAATTTCTAGTATCTTTATTTTTCGTGTACGAATCCTTCCCGTGTGTGTGTGTGTGTCATAAGGACCAGCCCCTCTACCATTGCCGTGGTCTGAGTAGCTAGGATATCGCGGAGTGTACTGGGTTGGTGCTTCGACACCTCCTAGATGACTGGCGCCCAGTAACCTTGCCGTATCTTGTGTTCATGGAAAAAGCTTATTTTAAAGATTCCCTTACAGAGCATCGTTCTTGGACTTTCCGACTATTGTGATTTTCGCTTATCTATGTCGTTAAATATTTTCCGGTCACAATATATATACATATAAGTGTTTACAAATTTTCAGAAATATCCTAACACTCCTGTGAATTTCTTTAAGGTATCCTGATACAGTCCAGAGAGTGATCCTGCTTCATGTCCTTCTCTAGTTGACTAAGGAAAGGGTGAAAAAAACTGAACAAACCCAGGTCCTCATATTCCCCAACACCCTCTGGTAAGCCTTTTCTGGATCCCTGTCATATTGATCAATTTGTACAAAATTCGTAACACTCCTACTCCTTTTAGTTTTCTAGAACTGTCCGGAAAGTGATCCTGCTTCATCTCCTTCTGCAATTGACTAAGAGAGAGGTAAAAACAAAGAAACTGAACAAACCCAGGCCCTGATATTCCCCAACACCCTTTGGTAAGCTTCTCCTGGGTCCATATCTTGGTTATAAGTGTTTACAAATTTCCAGAAATATCCTAACACTCCTGTGATTCTCTTTTAGGTATCCTAATACAGTCTGTAGAAGTGTTCTATTTTGCATGCGCAAGATTAATTCTACTGTTACTATGATTCACTCAATGATAAAAAGTAATTTGTTCATACTCATTTTTTTGCTATAAAAACATTTCAATTAATTGATTTTGAAATATTTTACGGTATTGTATTGCAGAATTGTAGTCGTGATTATTACTTGGAAAGTATATCAAAACTGCGAATGTTTTAAACTTTACATTGTTTTAATTGCAATCTGTTGTGAAAATAAATCTTAACTAATATTACATTTTGTCATTATAATATTAATTAATTATTTCAGTAACCTAACTATTAAAGAATTTAAAAAACCTAGCTTATTGCTATGCGAACTATCAGTGTGCACTTATGTGAATCGGTCACGGTCACATGTGCCTAGCTGTCATTTTTTGAAGAAGCCACACTGCCGTGTCGGCCACTTGCGGCCAACTTCTGCTGGTGCGTTTCTACTGACTAACTCTGTATATAATACTCCGTGAGAATAACATATCAAATATTGAACAAAGGGTAAAAAATAGAATACATACTATATGAAATTACCACTGAATTAGTATAGGAAAATGTTTATATGTTAAGAAACGAAGCAGGTATGCATTTCGTCTAGCGCTTGTCTCTAAATACTTTTCTTTGTCTAATCTATATATAGGATATAAACATCTATAAAGACGAACGGTTAACCATTTAGTGAACACAAAATTATCAGTTACTACATTTCAATGCTACAGTTGCAAATTGTTAACTCAACTGTTAATGTCTCATTCGTATAGATTACATACGTATAGAATTTACATTAATTTTTCTATTGCATCTTGATTCTAGTCCGCTGTCAAACGGTATATCCTTAAAGTCAGGACCAATCCACCTTTTTACGCTAACATCCGAATAAAAAAGTTTG